GTATTGATTTCTAATTTGTAATCATATTATAAAACCGGAACTTATGAACTATTTACTTGCCAAATATTAAGTTTTAATTTGAAGGATAAAAGCACGAAAATTGTAAAAAACAAAAATCGTACCGAATGAAATTTTTTCACGCGCCGCCATTTTGATACGAGGCAAAACCTCCCTCGTTTCCAGTTCATCCCCAGTGAACAGACAATGAAACAATAACAGCTAATGAGTTTTCTATTTGGTGGTGTATATTTTTAAATATGTCTTCAGTGTATTGCATTTATTTTCCTTTGGAACAAAATATGAAACACGTCTTTTCATTTGCATTGTGATCAAAGCAAATCATGTTTGAATCAGGGTCGGGATGAAAATGTGAAAATCTTCAATTTTGAGACGAACTCTCATTTCAAATTGAAAATCTAACTCTTTCCGACGAGTCAACTTCAATGCGATGGGGGATGCTTGAACAACAGATACAGAGTACATGTCTATGTAAAAAAGAAAATCGTGCTTTTTCATTTTTAAACTATTAAATTTAACAACTTAGTAATTTGCAGTGATATGCATTTACTCTATTATGTAGAATTAACAACGTTTCTATTCATATTCAAACTCGATCAAATAAAATGTCTTTAATATTTAATCTATATCTGGGAACATGGTTAAACCTATCTCGAAATACTCTTCGGCCAATACGATTGTGGTGATCCAGAATGAAATGAAACATCTTGGTGTTCTTGTACTTTTACAGACGATGTAGGTGAGGTACATATACACTAGGAATACTCAGAACATTAGTGTAGTAGTGGCAAGATTAATTTACCAAACAAGCTTTATTAGCTAGATAAATATTTAATTGGCGAAAATCCTATGCTCCAAAGAGCATGAAATATTGCAGGCACCAATCTAAGACGTATACAGTATGTGATGCGTTCGCAATATTTAGAAACAAACGTGATTTTTAAGGATTTACAGGCTCAATTAAATGTATATTTTAATCATATCAAATAAATAAAATTGAACAATTTCTTCGATACTATTGATTAATACTTAACAGGTAGTGAAATGACCGATATAAAACACCACAAAATATCCATTAACATAGATAAAATAACGCTCAAAGATGAACTAGATTTGCGATTTGATTTGCGACAGGGTAAATGTCGTCGCAACTTTTTGTTTAGTTGCGACCAGAAAATCGATAACTTTGCGTCAGACTTGCGATGCGATGGAATGATAATAACATTTTTGGGAAATAGTTGCGTTGCGATGTCTTGCGATGCGATTCGCATGCGATTTTGCGTTGCGACTAGATGATAATCACTGTTCCACAACTGGATGACTCTAACTGCAGATGGTGGACAAAATTCGTTCGTTTTCGATAAATCTCCAATTACAGCCAAACCAAGCTGAATCTTGATCCCAAAAGTTTCGCCATGCAAACTAATAAAGATATGATTGTAAACAACCACAAATAAAGGCTCACGCACCCGCGATATTAGAGAAATTGAAAGAAAACGGCTTCACTTAGAATGACTCTAACTGAAGTTAGTGATGACGTAGGAATGAAGCTAACTGAAACGGGGAATGAAGCTAACTCAATGGGATGAATATATGGACGGCCCTGTCTGTTGTTATAAAATATCTAAATGTTATTGACTGTTGTTATTGGTTGTAGCCATTTGTATTTTGACATGGAGTGAGTTTCTATTCAATCCCATGGCCGGTGATCGTAGAAATTGGACGGAGGGGGAGCAGACAAATTCTGGTAGAAATTTCAACAAATCTGGAAAATTTACTTTTTCAAGACAAAATTTAGTTTACGATTGAATGGCCAAATGAATAGGCTTACGGTATGGTAAAATATTGTAAGTATTCTAGGATTAAAGTATATGATGTAAAAGGCGAAATGCCGCAAACGTCCGAAAGTCAATGTTTTGCTAGTCAAGCAAGAATGGTCTACACGACCTGTAATTAAAAAACGCCACCATGGAACATTGCAGTATTCTTATTTTAGGTTTACTGAAGACAGATACAGAGACCAGACTCCAACGGATAGGAACAACCAAACTAAAACCCCAACACAGAGAGATCACACAACACAACCGAACACAACCAAATAAACTCACCCGACTAGGCACAACCGACCACCTATCTTAACATAATCGGGCACAACCCGCCACCACCCCTCATTTAACGATCAGGCACAACCAACCACATAACACAATCGGACTCAACCAGATACCTAACCTGACTGGGCACAACCTGCCCCCCGACCAGCATAACAAAATCACAACATAACACAACGCATTTTAAAATTAACATAACACAATAAGGCACAACTCGAAACCAGGCTAAATAAACAACCAGACACAACCCAACTACAAGCCAACAACACAATACGACACAACCCAATACTACAACCTTAGTTTAACCTCCGAAAACACAACCAATTGTCAAATATACGCAACACAATTTGGCACAACCAAATAATAAAACAACAAAACCAAAACACAACCCATAATGGACGAAGAACAACACAATTTTACACAAAACAATCAAAACACAATCAGGCACAACCAAACTGGAAGACAAAAACACCCAACCAACACTCTCTGAAAACAACACCAATCACGCAACACAATCTGACACAACCACATACTTCATCCTACTGGGCACAACCCGCTACCGACCAGCACAACACAATTACAACATAACACAACCACTTTGAAATTAACATAACTTAATGAGACACAACCCGATACCAAACTTACACAACACATCCAGGCTCAACCAGACAAACAACCACCAAAACACAATCGACTATCAAACTAACACAATGGAACACAACCAAACAACAAACCAACACAATACAACATAGCCAACGAGACCGAATTCAAATCAACCCATTTTTGAATCATTACAACACAACCTGACACCAACCACAGTAACAGAGTCAGTCACAACCCAATACTAAATCAATTAATTTACACTATTAAATACAATCAGGCACAATCTACAAACACAACCAAACTATGATACCAATTTACTTAGCACCCAACTAACTGTCTCCAACTGGAGACAATCCCAAAACAAAACCTAACCCAGCAAAACAACATTCTCTAGAAACCAATAACAATCCCGCGAAACGCGTAACCTGAACAGGAAAAAGTAGCCCTCACTATATTCTTAACCTTTTTTCTTTGGCCGCTGATGAGAAACATATCATGGAATACCCCCATGAGTTCGAAACATCTTCGGCCCTTATTATGACCAACATATAAGGGAGAGGATCCGCAACAGGATCGAGATGTCCGGCCGCTCTACATTAATGACAATAGGAGATGTCACCACTAATGGCATCATCCTAGGATCAACTAAATATACTCTACCTGTCACATAAGAACTGACAATGGTTTGGGGAAACTTAGATACTAGACCATATCTCCCAGGTCCAATCAACGAGACCTCTAACCAATTGACACAGATTGCATGACCATGCGTGTCCATAAAAGGTAATGTCTCAAGACATGGTCTCAGCCACCACTCCCAACACTATACACCACACCAACTACTTAATATTTACACAGAACAATTAACCACCAGTACCATGGGAAGGCATCATCTGTGGTCACGTGGTTACATAACAAGACAAAGCCCAGTGCGTATGGCAAAACACAGTCTCTCACAAATAATCTAATTAATTAAGGAAATGTGTTCGAAGTTTAAAAAAGGGATAATAAGGTGAATTCTGTCATAAGCAATAATTTAGTAAACCATATACACTTATATTATTTTGATAATGCACTGACTGAACAAATAAAAATGAACATTGCCTTTAACTGCATGTCTTCAATATTCAGGTTGTTACATCATTGTATACAATATTGTTGCTTCACGATAAAAGAAACCCTTTTTATCCATCATTCGCTTACAATTTAGAATGATAATTTGAATCGGGGGGGGGGTGCTTTTTGATAGTTTTGTTTAGAAAATCGTGCGAAAAGTGCTCAGAGTGGTGAAAACCTGCGGGAATTTGAAATAATTTCTGGCCAGGGAGGGGGAAACTACCGAACCTCCAGCTTCCCCTGGTTACGGAACTGCTTATTGGTAATTTGTATAGCCCATTATAAATCTCCATTCAGTTAGAGTCATCAATGGTGAAATCTGTGTTGGAGTTAGCTTCTTATCAACCTCAGTTAGAGTCATTCTAAGTGAAGCCGTTTTCTTTCAATTTCTCTAATATCGCGGGTGCTTGAGCCTTGATTTGTGGTTGTTTACAATTATATATTTTTTAGTTTGCATGGCGAAACTTTTGGGATCAAGATTCAGCTTGGTTTGGCTGTAATTGGAGATTTATCGAAAACGAACGAATTTTGTCCACCATCTTGAATGAAGCTAACTGCAGTTAGAGTCATCCAGTTGTGGAACAGTGATAATGAGGCCTCTGGTGTTTTAGCACTTTGTAACATTTCGTAGCATTTATATATAACACAGTATTAATTGAATATGTTTCAGTGATAGTGATGTTCTTTGGCCTCAGGTAGCACAAAAAGTCATAATGCGATTTATATCTGGTTTGTTTTATCTGAAAGGAATTGAATTAATTGAGGATTAGATGGAATTTCATGTTGATAGAATGATTATTTCTGATATAATTATTGCAAAGATCAAAAACCATTTAAGGGTTAAGAATCCTATCCTAAATTTCATTTTATTCCCGGAAATATCAATAAATGAAATTATTGGAAGGGATATCAACTTTTATTATTTGGAATAATTATAAGCAATTTTACTCCCTGGAACTACGATTTCACGAGACATTATGGACCTTTTGGAGACAATTTATTTAAGGTTCGATAAGAAATAACTGAGGAAATTTAAGTCAATTTTCTTCTTGCCACCATTGTTTTCTTCATGAGATGTTAGTAGACAATTGTAGCGTCATCTACAATGCTAACTTTGTCGACACTGTTACCATGGTTATGTTTCACAGAACAATCAAAACAAAGTCATTTTATTGGATGGTACATGTACAATGACTCAGGTAATATCATAACTTCTGGTAGTCGCATATTCGTTTACCAGTTTGATTTTCAATATGAAAACTTCATACATTGGTAATCCAAGATGGATAGTTGGGTAATGTCTGTTGTAGTAAGACTTCGCCACTTGGTGATTGTGCCTGGTGACAAAACGATTGATGGCTCAATCAAAACAGAGACATATAAAACGTGTTTTATATGTCTCTGATCAAAAGAATTATGTTTTTGTTGTAACTGAAATTATTCATTTGTAAGTTACGTTTAATGTTTTGAATGAAAGCGATAGTGTACTATGAATGAACTTTTTCGAAAATCGGATAAATATGACTCAAATCATAAGCTTTTTTTTCAATATAGTTTATTTAAGTTTCTCAAGTAAATACAGATACAGTAGTTGTAAATCAATTACAATCTTATCATATTCCATTTGTTTTTAAAAAATACATTTTTACGTACATAAATTTCGAATTTTAGAGTTTTAACAATTCATTCAAACTACTTGTGCAAATTAGAGCCTCTAAGTGCGCTCCATATTGATTTTGAAATTACCTTTCCTGCAATAAGGTTCCAATAGACCGTTGGAAAGCTGAAGACCGTTGGGAAGCTAAAAGAACAATTGGACATTGAATTAGTTGTCATTTTGAAAATTAGTATATGACCCCTTGGTGATGAGATGGTTCATATCTAATTTTGCATTTACAAAAAATTCAAATGGAGGTCAGACTCTTGAAGCTGACACTCTTAGCTTTCCAACGGTGTATTGAAACCTTAGTTCAGAGCTGGTCATTTATATTGCCCTAATTTGCACTTCTACACATTATTTCTTTTGCTATCGATTGAAAAGCCGATCACCACAAGAAAGCCAGCCACCAGAAGCAGTACGGGGTCGCTACCACTCCCTGGAAATAAATACTACATGAAAACAACATCACGACGTTCCAAAACTGGCCCCCGTAGACGAACCTCGAGAAAATTGCAAAGGTTGCAGCACCCTAATGCTATTGATCCCTTAACATTGCCAAGTTGTAAACCATGTTGTCGGAGAGAATCGCAACAATGCGCAAGCGACATTAACAGAAGAATGGTGGTTTGTATGATGTCTGATATAAACTTTGAACATTATTGGGCTTGGAATTCCATCTCCTCCATTGCTGACATTCAGACTCAATTAAAAGCGAGAGCTAAGCGACCAAATGCAATCAAACATTATTCCTAAATGTAATATCAGAAAGGAGTGGTATCGATATGGTGAACTTTTTGAACACGCATTTCTCTTAAACCAGACTTCAAATGGTATCATATGTTAAATATGAAATGAAACATCTTTTCGAACCTCATTGGAACAAAACGACATAAACACAACGTGTTTAGGTCTTTCAATATTATAATTGTACAAAGGAAAGTTTGGTTGATTTTTAAAAAAGTATCTTGTTAATGAAATAAAAGGGTTATCTTAATTTTTATCTATTTTGTTTTTTTTAAAGTTTTTGCATACTTTTTGTTAAATCAACCAAAATTTCCTTTGTATAACTATAATATTGAGAAGTCTAAAAACATGGTCTATATGCTATTTTGTTCTAACAAGGTTCGGAAAGACATTTTATTTAATTCTCAAGAATTGGTAGAAAGGAACAAAAAATTGCACTAAAGAACAAAAAATGTTAACAAAAACAGTTATATAAAATATATATAAACAATTTTTGCATTAAATTGTTGCCAATCAGTCAACATTACTTAAACGACCGTGTTTTTTGACAGAATGTTTTAATAATTGGTTTAAGAGAAAAACATTGTTGAATTCAATTCACCATATCGATACCTATCCTCTAGAAAAAATGTCTGAATCTTCAATATTGGAATTCCGAGAAATCAAAAGGTCTTGAAGATTGTTTAATAAAGAGTAAATATGTAAATTACAAACTGAATACTGAGATTAAAAATTGTTATTGTTGGTAAGAATACATTGACTGAACAAAAGTAGGCTTAATTGTACATGTCGATTTATAATTTAATCATAACTTGCATTATATGACGATTGTAGCTTCGAAAACGGCAACCCCGCAAAGATAAATTAAAGAAACTTTCACAAAGGAAGTCAAAGAGTAAAGCCAGGAATATAGATGAGACAACACAATCCCAAATCAGAGACACTTATACGATGATTTCCAAAAGAAATTCATGTAACGAAGGATTTTGGAGCAGGTGTGAGCTGAAAACGGGTCAGAACAGAAAGTTGTTCGAGATTAGTAATCTCTTGAACGATATGAGTGAAGCAGTTATGCTGCAACAAATAATACAGGTAATTGTTCCATACTGGCAAACTATCTACAATATTGTGGTCATGAAATCTAAAATATCAATGTTCCATAGCCGGCAGATCCACCATTCACAATCTCATTTGTATAACCGGCAGCTCCACCATTCACAATATCATGTTCCATACCCGGCAGATCCACCATTCACAACTTCTCATGTTGTACAAACGGCAGCTCCACCATTCACAATATCATGTTCCATACCCGGCAGATCCACCATTCACAACTTCTCATGTTGTACAACCGGCAGCTCCACTGTTCACAATATCATGTTCCATACCCAACAGATCCACCATTCACAATCTCATTTGTATAACCGGCAGCTCCACCATTCACAATATCATGTTCCATACCCGGCAGATCACCATTCACAACGTCTCGTGTTGTACAACCGGCAGCTCCACTATTCACAATATCATGTTCCATACCCGGCAGATCCACCATTCACAATCTCATTTGTATAACCGGCAGCTCCACCATTCACAATATCATGTTCCATACCCGGCAGATCCACCATTCACAACTTCTCGTGTTGTACAATCGGCAGCTCCACTATTCACAATATCATGTTCCATACCCGGCAGATCCACCATTCACAATCTCATTTGTATAACCGGCAGCTCCACTAATATCATGTTGTATGACCACCATCTGTAATAACATGTTCTTTATCCCATTCACAACAGCATGTTCCACTGTTCCTTACCCGCTAGCTCCACCGCTCACACTATATTGTACTATACCCTGCATCTCCACAATCCACAATAACATGTTCTTTACCTGGCAGGCCCACCATTCACAAATCACAATATAACATCCCATTACAAGTATGTTTAAGAGTAAAAACTGTACATGTGTTCTTTTCACTGATTCACCTAATTGCGTCCTCATTGTTAAAGCGATAAACTTAAATCAGAATATTTTAATTAAAAGCTGACAAATGAACGGTCTCATTGAACCCAGTATAATAGTCTTAATACGGCTTCATCCTCGCGTACATATTGGTCTAATCATCATGTATATTTTCGAGGGACTGTATAAAAGAATATGGGACGGCAAGAGCAACTACTTTGAGAAAGGTATAGTCGACCCGGTGCAGCTGGGACATGAACTGAAAATGAGGCTGGCACCTGTAAGCAATATACTTGTAGAGAGCGTTGACGCTGATCGCGTGTGTACATTTGAAGAATACTCGCCAAACGTAAGAGAAGTTCCACAATTGGACATTGACGTTGAAGAACAAGATTTTGATATTATTTGTTTCATGAAGTTGTATACGTAAACACAAAACTTTTCTTGTATATTTTATTCACCATTTATTATATCACAGTGGATATCATAAACATCATTTACTGATTAATACCCATCATCAATCGGTAAGATATTAATAAAGTCAAAATATTTTCCATATTCTTGACTCACAATTCTTTTCTATAGTTTTGTTAAACTTCATGAAACTTTTAAATGTTTATAAAAATGTAAGATGCGTTTGACGATGATGAATCACTAAGAGTACCATTTGAATCGCAAATGAATAAACATTCAGTGTTGTTTTAAAGTTGGATAACAAATATTTCAATTTTGCTGCAAAATTTGCTAGTGATACTTTTTTGATACTTGACATTATACTTTTATATGCCATTTGGTGTCAGTTTTAGTATATACATTTTTCTAAATAAATAAAATAAATATTTGTAACGTAAATGCAGTCCAAACGGATACCATGGCGTCTTTGGTCATGATTGACGCCCCGGCATCAACAAACCATACATGATAGTTAATTCCAAAAACAGAGAATAGAGTACTGCATAATCAGGATGCTAAATAAACCGAACGATTTACAATGTAGATAACCAAACATCGACAAACTACCATACGACTAAATGATAAAATTTGAAAATTAAATCTAGTGTGGTTTGTCTATACAGCTTGAATAAGAGATGAAACAACCCCAGCAGAGCTCAGAAATGATGCTTAACTATTGAAGTTATGATCTTGAATTCTGAGGTTTTCTCTCCTCTTATATGGAACATATCACAATGCCATCTTTCTATCAACTTGGTTTGTATTCGTAATTGCAAATACCTGCTACCGGCTACCGGATTGATTGATGGCAAACTCAGCTTGTATTTGCGAATTCAACTTTCGGCTGGCGGCTACCGGATTAACCTACTATTTTATGGGCAGCTCATTTAGATATGAATAGTACCTGTACCTGGATATAGTGAAGCCCTCCGTCCGTCCGTCAGTCAGTCAGTCAGTCAGTCCGTCAGTCAGTCAGTCAGTCCGTCCGTCTGTCCGGAAGATAACTCAAATATTAGTTGACCGATTTTCTTCATATTTGGTGGAAAGATGTATATTGATAAAGAGTTTTACGCAAAAAAAAAAGATGGCCGCCACTTTAAAAATGACGAGGCTTTTTCGCAAAAATCATAAATTTTTCATTCTAAACCGAAGTAATTAATATTATTGTTTGAAATTTTGGTAGTATATTCACAACATCTATCTATTTCACATATATTCCGTGTTTTTCATCCTGACCCCCAGGGGCCGTGTATGGGGGGTCAGGAAAACAGAGATTTTCGCTAATTTTTAGATCTTTCTGAAGTATAGCTTTATTATACTCAAATGAAAGGCAATTAAGAGTAGATTGCAAATATTGTATCTTTTTCTAATTCGAGCCTCGTAAAATTCAAAATGGCCGTCTAATGTACGATTTCGCAATAATTTTTCGATCCCTTCAAAGTATGGCTATATTATACTCAAATTGAAGGAATTTTGGAGTAGATCACAATTATGGTATTATTTTTCAGATTTGTACCTCAGAAAATTCAAAATGGCTGTTTTGCAGGAATTCGCAATTCTAAATCTAAATCTTCCAATTTTAATCAAAGTAATGAGTATTGATTGGATTGGAATTCGGTAATTGATATTTTGTTCGTTGGGATTTGCTACTCCGCGGAGTTGCCGTTATCTAGTTAATCAGTCTTAAGGTACGCATAAAACCCAAGCTGATTCACAATAAATAAGGATCGAGCAAAAGAAAATAATTTACAAGAAAATGTAACTTTATTTAACCTTTTCTAAACTATATTTATGCGACTGTACATAAATGTGTAACTGTAAAATATAACTTTTAATAGTTTTTTTTCAGTATCCGAGGTTAAGTATTCATAAAATTGACAAGTTGAATGCACACGCACGTAGCTATATAGTCTTCGGAATGTTATACATAGTTTAAAAGTTGTTTCAATGACATTAAAAACTGGTCATTTAATTCAATGCTAGAAAAAACAACCACACAAATATCATTTTTACTGGCGTCCCACCAATAACCTCAGTGGGAAAAGCAGCAGATAAGGGAAACGGGTTTTCGTGTAAATGATGAGTATGAGTGAAAATAGTTGGTCAACGATATTTTGATATAATATTCCAAAATTTATAACATGCTATACAGCGGGTGCACATCAGGATAATAAAACTAAGAGTCAACAAGGAAACTGGACTACAACTCAGTGACTCTCATTCGTATTATACAGCGGGACATATTCACAAGAGACAGCGAATCCTGAAATGGAATAACAACATATTTGCTCACATATATTAGTTTTCGAGAAAGGTACGTTATGCATATTTTTGGTGGTCGGATTGCTTGTTTGTTATTGCTTACCTGATTGTCTGTAGTGGTCGGATTGCTTGTTTTTTATTGCTTACTTGATTGTTTGTAGTGGTCGGATTGCTTGTTTGTTATTGCTTACTTGATTGTCTGCAGTGGTCGGATTGCTTGTTTGTTATTGCTTACTTGATTGTCTGTAGTGGTCGGATTGCTTGTTTTTTTGCTTACTTGATTGTCTGTAGGGGTCGGATTGCTTTTTTGTTATTGCTTACTCGATTGTCTGTAGTGGTTGGATTGCTTGTTTGTTGTTGCTTACTTGATTGTCTGTAGAGGTCGGATTGCTTGTTTGTTATCGTTACTTGATTGTCTGTAGAGGTCGGATTGCTTGTTTGTTATCGTTACTTGATTGTCTGTAGGGGTCGGATTGGTTTTTTGTTATTGCTTACTCGATTGTCTGTAGTGGTCGGATTGCTTGTTTGTTATTGCTTACTTGATTGTCTGTAGGGGTCGGATTGCTTGTTTGTTATTGCTTCGTTGATTGTCTGTATAGGTCGGATTGCTTGTTTGTTATTATTTAGTTGATTGTCTGTAGAGGTCGAATTGCTTGTTTGTTATTGCTTCGTTGATTGTCTGTAGAGGTCGGATTGCTTGTTTTTTATCGTTACTTGATTGTCTGTAGTGGTCGGATTGCTTGTTTGTTATTGCTTACTCGATTGTCTGTAGTGGTCGGATTGTTTGTTTTTTATTGCTTACTTGATTGTCTGTAGTGGTCGGATTGCTTGTTTTTTATTGCTTACTTGATTGTCTGTAGTGGTCGGATTGCTTGTTTGTTATTATTTACTTGATTGTCTGTAGAGGTCGGATTGCTTGTTTGTTATTGCTTACTTGATGTCTGTAGAGGTCGGATTGCTTGTTTGTTATCGTTACTTGATTGTCTGTAGTGGTCGGATTGCTTGTTTGTTATTGCTTACTCGATTGTCTGTAGTGGTCGGATTGTTTGTTTTTTATTGCTTACTTGATTGTCTGTAGTGGTCGGATCGCTTGTTTATTATTGCTTACTTGATTGTCTGTAGTGGTCGGATTGCTTGCTTTTTATTGCTTACTTGATTGTCTGTAGTGGTCAGATTGCTTGTTTATTATTGCTTACTTGATTGTCTGTAGTGGTCGGATCGCTTGTTTGTTATTGCTTACTCGATTGTCTGTAGTGGTCGGATTGTTTGTTTTTTATTGCTTACTTGATTGTCTGTAGTGGTCGGATCGCTTGTTCATTATTACTTACTTGATTGTCTGTAGTGGTCGGATCGCTTGTTTATTATTGTTTACTTGATTGTCTGTTGTGGTCGGATCGCTTGTTTGTTATTGCTTACTTGATTGTCTGTAGAGGTCGGATTGCTTGTTTGTTATCGTTACTTGATTGTCTGTAGTGGTCGGATTGCTTGTTTGTTATTGCTTACTTGATGTCTGTAGTGGTCGGATCGCTCGTTTGTTATTGCTTACTTGATTGTCTGTAGTGGTCGGATTGCTTGTTTGGTATTGCTTACTTGATTGTTTGTAGTGGTCGGATTGCTTGTCTGTTATTGCTTGCTTGATTTATGATTTTGGAAAGCAACACATTCAAAGAATAGTCTTTTCACATTGCACCGAATGCTGCTTAAAACCTTAATCTAAGAATGCACCAATTATAAGGAAAACAAACCCCAACTATCCCAAACCATGATCTACCGTGAAAAGAACCAATGTCTGATACCCCTCTGCCCTCCCCCACCATTCATGTTCTATTATCACATTTAAAGGAAGACCACAAAACCAAGGACATTACATTTAATTTACTCAGGCCTACAAGCTGTTTGTCCATCAATACAGGTGCTGTTTGAAGCCACTGTGACATGACACGTCGGTGTTAATGAAGAAGTGCGACACACAGGCTTACATGTAATCCCTGTAGAAACTTAGACAAATAGAAATAAATCTTTCCAACTCAACCGCCATACTCGTTAGCTAGTTTGATTTGAAAACTGCATACCTCTCTTGGCAATGCTCTACTGGTGCATTATATATAAAATAATCGTACCTTTAATTTTCGACAGACCTCATTGAGTGGGTGGGGTGGGGGGGGGTATCAAAACGGAAACTGACAACTGATATTATATTTCATTTCCTTTGGTTTTGTTTTGAAATGGCATTGCTAGGTATCGAAACTGCATATCATTTGGAAATGTGATTTCACCCGGGAATATGTTACATAATTTCAAGAGCCATTCGCCTCTCAGTCAGCAACTAGGGGTGTGCCGGAACGAATGGTGCGATCCTAATTATCTTTCTTAGAATTTATACAAATGCCTGGTAATGCAATATTACTTCACGGCCTGCCTTCAAGTCCATGATTGACTAGACTACAAATCCTCTCATTCCGGCGAATAGACAACAACCCGGGGGACAACGCCTATAGTATCAGCCCTGAAAAGGTATTCCCGGGTTTGGATTTGATCGGAGAATGAACTGGACGAAAACAGTAAAGATACACTGGACGAAATTTTAAAAGCGGTGATTTTAAAAAAGTTAAAAATAATTCATAGTTTCTGTTTATTCGACAAATTTACAGATCATACTTTCATTTAATTGAACCCTTTGGAATATTATGTTCAAAATGAACATGTTCAATAAAATTGGTAAGCATTGATATTTTCTATATTTGTGAAAATGGAATTTGAACACATTATTTTTAGAAATATCCATTATTAGACTAGATCTATCGCCCACAATCAATGTGAATATCGTGCAGTCAATCACAGGGAGTTGGCTCGGGGGTCTAGCAAGTCCTCTGATTTGTCTGTACTAATCAAATACTCTTAGAACAGTACAGACTTATCAGAGGGCTTGCTCGACCCTCCAGCCAAGCCCCTGAGCAGTCAATAATTGCTGTTTGATTTTGAGCAGCCAAATCAGATTCTTCCTATACCTGTTCCTCTCTGCAAGTTGATCAACATGAATTGCAATTGTATCAGTACCTCTTGATCTGGGTTATCGATTGACTTTTCTGCTATTCAACATTGACTTCTAATCTTTCGGCCAAAATCACCCCCAGGCCCGTCATAAAGGGGGTGGCACTTTATGTATTCCTACATTTGTACCTCTCAAGACATGAACACCTCAAAATAAGGCCTTTTGGAGGATTTCCTACTTGTCTGATAGGCCTTCGGTTATATTTGAATGGCAATAAATACTGTAAATTGCTTAATTGATTTGCCGCTATTTGCTTCGGGGGAATGACCCATCAGTAAAATAGAGATATTCAGGAGGGCAAGCTAGAAAGTCACATGCGGGGTCACATGGCAAGATTACTCTTAGGTGACTAAGAGAGGTTTTACCTTCATATATGAAAATGTAAAAATGGGGTTACAAACAAAATATTAAAAGAATTTTCAATGAGACCTACTGTAAGGTTCAGGGGATTTTTCAAAGAATTGGTGGATACTTAAGAGCATAGATCCCGGCCAGATTCTTTTGTTGTAGGATCAGTAGCTCAATAAATATTCCTCAAGATGGGACACCTCAGAAAATTTCAAATTTTAAAATGACGATTATGGAGCCATTTCTGAAAAATATGAGACAAATCATACCTCATTCGAAGCATCTTGTTATTCTTTAACTTTTTTTTATCACCAATGACCGTTATTTAAGCAATGCTGCGTTGATAAGAGGCCAAAACAGTGATATTTTATCGCCGGACTCTTGTCTGTCCAAATCTGAATGATGCTCCCGTGGTTCCAGAAATGTGACGTCATCAGTACAATGATATTTGGACACACAAGAGTCCCGATCTCGTGAAAAATATTCGCTGTATTAAAAGTCAAATAACTGCATCCATAGGTTATTTACTCGAACCAAACAAGTAGAAATAGAAAGATGAAGATCTCAGCTATAAAATAAGTGCAAAATCCGTCATGGGGAAGCAGGTACCATTTTGTATACGGATCATTTTTGCTTACAGTACATTTATTTATGGAGGCATGAGAATTCAAATCTATGCTTAACAACTCAAAACCAGAACAACGGCAACGCCAAAGCGTAGCGAATCCCATCGAACAGAAATGGCTGGCATTTTTACAAACGAAATATATAGCAAATATCATAAAATAACAAACATAAGAAAGGCCACCATTTTCAAAATAGTTGCTCACTAGCCAAGTTGTCATCAGAAGAAGAAATATGCTTTTTTTTATAGTATTCACATATCAAATATGAACAAAATCGCTACACCACTTTTCGAGTAAAATACTTTAAAATGGTGGCCATTTTTCTACCAAAAGTGTCATTAGACTGTGTGCCATGCTTATAGTATTCACATACCAAATATGAACAAAATCGCTCCACTACTTTTCAAGTTACAGCAAAACTCGTAAAATAATGAGTAAAGGCCGAGTAAAATACGTTTAAATGGTGGCCATTTTTCAAAATGGCCGCCTTCTACCAAAAGTGTCATTAGACAGTGTGCCATGCTTATATAATTCACATACCAAATATGAACAAAATCGCTCCACTACTTTTCGAGTTATAGTAAAATAAGTTAAAATGGCGGCCATTTTTCAAAATGGCCGCCTTCTACCGAAATTGTCATTAGACAGTGTGCCATGCTTATAGTATTCACAAACCAAATATGAACAAAATCGCTCCACTACTTTTTGAGTTATTGTAAAATATGTTAAAATGGTGGCCATTTTTCAAAATGGCCACCTCCTATTAAAAGTGTCATTAGACAGTGAGCCATGCTTATAGTATTCACATACCAAATATGAACAAAATCGCTCTACTACTTCTTGAGTTATAGCAAAAATCGTAAAATAACGAGTAAAGGCCGCCATTTTTCAAGATGGCTGCCATGTGCTTCTTTAAAATCTACATTTCTAGCTTTATCAATGTTCTATATAATTTTTTTACATTTAAAACATATTGCTATTACAGTTTTACATAATGTACCTAAATTACTGTAAAATCGGCACTAAAATGGCCGCCATTTTTAAATGAGCGGCCATTTTGAAAATCGACTTTCAAGCAGAACTTCTACCCCCATAGGGTATATGTGTACAAAATATGAACAAAATCGGGCCAACGGTATTTGAGTTATTGCCCGGATGGATGGACGGACGGACGGACAGACGGACGGAGGCGTTCCCTAAATCCCTCCGAACTTTGTTCGATGGGATAATAAGTTAAAGAGTTGCATTTTAAATATACACTGTATTGATACATATTAATCACCACGAATGGAGTTCTTTAGGGATATAATGAACCACAATTTAGAGTAGATTGCAAATATTGTATATTTTTTTTATTCAGGCCTCATAAAAATCAAAATGGCCACCTATTGTGGGATTTCTCAATAATTCTCTGATCTCTCCATTAGAAAATTCAAAATGGCTGCCAAGAGTAGGAATAAGCTATTACTTACAGATCTCTTTAAAGCATGGTTACATTATACTAATAAATATTGTATTGTCTTTACGATCACCCAAATGATTAAATCGGTAGAAATTTTGATACATCTCTCATGTATGCCTTTTAATATCTGCCAATTTAATCAAGGGTACAGAAATGGTACATTCTGACAGATACAGATTCATGAATATAGTGTTCGTTTGGATTTGCTACTCCATGGAGTTGCTGATTTCTAGTAGTTCTTAATATGTGAAGTTTATTTTAAAATTTTGTTGTTTCAGTCACAATCTATGACAAATTGTTACACTTTAAAGCAAGTGTAATTTACATTTGTGCAAGTTACACTGATTTTTTGTTCATAATTTTATATTTCAGATAAATTTCAAATTAGAAGACAGCAATGGTTTCAAATATTGGAAGAGTTTGGCTGAGTTTTGCAGCTATAGCTTCCATCGGGTTCACTACACAAGGTATGTTTATATCTTAAAAGTGCCAAATGTTTAATGTAATGTATTAAGAAACCAATTAATCTAGTTAATTTCAATTTAGATAAAAGTTTAAGTTGTAGTACATCATTCATTTGAATTCAACTGAATTTAAAGCTTTATCAGGTGTAGTCTTTTATAGGTCAGCAATCGATAAATGGCTATCTATTACATGTTAGACATTAATAAATAGATACAAACATCCATACTTTTAACAGCAATGTAATTCAAATGACTTGTCAAAGTATGTTAATAATGCAAGTGAGACGTCAATATCGTGTTTTTTGTTTCCATGGTTCCACACATTAAATTTACTGGATGAAACATTCTCAATGTATCCAAACACATAAGTGACATTTACTCACTCCCCATTGTTCATCAATTTTCTTTTCACTGTGGAAGATGAGTAATAACATACAGTGAATAAATACATTGTGATCATTTATTGCAAATATACCACTTTTAACTTTTGAAAAATAATGATTGGTCATAATGTGATCATGATATCATTTAACACTAAAAACAAGAGAATCATTTTGATTTGATTATAAATCACCATTTAATATATACTTTAAAGTTAAGAAATAAGAATGTCCTAAAAATCTGTCACTTAGCTTTACAACTTTTTAATAGCAGAGTAGGCTATATATAAGTATAGCTTCGATTCATGTGTTTAAATACTTGTTTTAGTACAAAAAATGTAATCACCCCAATAGATGCTGAGTCAAGGTTGAAAGAGTATATGTTTATGATCTTTCACCTATTCATCTTTTTTTTTTTTTTTAAAAGGGCTAAGATGAATCAGACCATGTAGAAACTGTTTTTAAATCCCAAATCAACGAAATGACACTCAGGCCTGTAGTCAGGATTTGCCAAGGGGGGTTCCCTTTTTGAAAAATTTCAGGGGGGTTCACTTTGATAAATATGGCCCAAAAATGGCCAAAATCATTTGAAAAATGCTCAGAATGGTGAAAAACTGCATGATTTTGAAAAATAATTTTTGAACCCCCCTGGCTACGGGTCTGACACTTAAATTAATGGATTAACATAGAACTATATGAATGTTTACATTCAATCAGACAACTAGGAAGCTACACTATTTAGATTTTATTTACAAAATAAAATGATGCACTATGTTTAAAGTATGATCAAAATTTAAAACCATTTAAGTCAAATAGAATATGTCTGAATTCATCACTCAATGTTCCTGCATTTTTTAAGTTTTCACAAAGCATTGGTAAGATTTGTATTTCACAATAGCAACCGATCGCCAATAATAATATATTGTATTCTAGATAATCCTGAATTGTAAGTCCAAGAATTCAAAACTTAAATTTCTTTCTATAATTTGATATGCTATGTTATGATATGTTACGTTAGGTTACTTTATGAATGTTTTTTTGTTTGTTTCTAGGTATAGAGTTTGCAGAGTCCCCCACTTCCGTTACACTAAGGAGGTCAGATAGCCTATATTGGCCATGCTCAGCCAAACCTAGCCCAGGGGAACCAGATCAATCATTCACCTATAGGTAAACTCTCTTTTTTGGCAGACTTTTTTTTTGACATAATGAATGGTATCCATTTTTAAAGATCCTAGATGTTGTACCAAGTTGAAAATCTATTTTAATTTTAATTTGGAAAACCATTTAAGATATGATAGAAATTCTAACGAGGTTCTAGGATTTTGGTACAGAGCAACTGTTAAAACCATTCTTAATATTAGAATGGCAAGAGCCAAGGTTAGAGTGACCCAAATATGTTAAGTTGGTTTAACTATTTTCGTTGCATAAAAATTTATTTATTTTATGTCCCTATAATATCAAAACACAGTTGAATAACAGTTGGAGGTTTCTATAAAGTCAAACAATATGTACAAATATGTCGATATAAACAAGTAATATATTTAGTATGTACCATTGATTAATATACTGTTTTGTAATATTTTGGCATGCTCTGGTCCAATTGTTATATAATACTGTTCATCAAGAAATACATGTGAAAAGATGCCAAAACTATTTTTTAATAATATACCATGATGTATCCCACACCACAAGAATGTGCATTGTGTACTACCTGTACATGTATGATTACAGTAGAAATTGCCAATTGTGATATTTTGATATCACTTGTTTGAACAACCCTGTGTGCAGAGTCTAGTTATAAACTACCCTCTGCCTGTATAGACTAGATTACAGTTTAGCAGCCCTGCCCACATGGCCTGTGACAGCCTGGGTCAGAAATCATTTCAAACCTAGCAAGCTGACCTGTTCACAACCAATCAGCGAGCTGGAAAGAACACGCGCTAAATACATGCTCATTAACTATATGCAATTATGTCAGAGAAAGTGATCATATATAGAATATCGTAGATTTATTTCTTCAAAAAACTCTGTTTGGCTCAGTGAATTCAGAGATTTATTTTAAACTGAAAGAGTGATGACGAAGCCTATAGAGCTATTAAAAGTAACTCTCTAAGAATAATTGTCATTCATTTTTCATTTAAAGAGAAAATCATTGCATGGGTGATATTCAAAAAAATTGAGATTACATGTGTCATGATTACAGCTAGGGGCTATGTCATGTGCTATACTTATTTTGTACTATCAAATTTCACCATTGTGTGACATAGCTAACAGTTGATGGATTTATATTTGATACCACCAACAAGATAAATGCATGTGCATGAGAAATCTTTGTTTTCACTGAGAGTCGCATTTGTCAATTTGTCAAATTCCTCATAACTCAATTTTCTGTATATTGACAATAAAGACCTCTCATAAAACAACCTGTGGCTTTAGTGTAGTATTAGGTCTCTAGATCCCCTTTGCCTCCAGAACCCCTCCTCTAGTATGTACATGTGTAAAGGAGGTCCCAAGAGATAAAAGCAAGACTAATCTATAGCCCTAAGTAAGCTTATAGTACAATGGAGTGCAGTACAGTGCAGTGCAGGGGAGCACAGTGTAGTACAAAGCTGTGCAGTGCATTGCAACATAGTACAGTGCAGTATAGTGCAGTACAGTGCAGTGCTAATTATAAAAACAGTGCAGTTAAGTGCTGAACAGTGCAGTAAAGTGCTAAACAGTTTAGTATAGTACTTTGCAACACATTGCAGTGCAGGGCAGCACAGTGCAGTACAATGCTATGCAGCACAGTGCAGTGCAGCATGGTGCAGTGCAGTATAGTACAGTGCACTACAATACAATAAAATATTTTATATTATAAAAATACAATACAGAACATTACCAGAAATTCATAATTTCTTTACTTATAATTTCAGTTGGGCATACTACAATGCTTCTGGTATCGCTGACAGTGTTCAACCTTCAACATACTCCAATGGCACGCTATATGTGGAGAGTATGTCCAGTGATTTTGCAGGAAGGTACAAATGTTCAGCTAGCGGAGTTACAACTGGAGATGTGATCAAAACAGACTTGGTTACACTTGGATGTAAGTAAAATAACGACGTCGTTATCGGAATTCTGTGTCCTGCCTTATTTCATAATTCAAGCTTTGTCCATTTCCTGATGTGGCAGAAGCATACATGTTTCTTTGTTTGTTTACATACATGTTTCTTGTTGCTTGTTTATTTGTTTGTTTGTTTATTATTTGGTATGAGCATAATGTGCCAAAATCTAGTAGCTCCAAAACTTTTACTTTGTATACCAAAAAATATATTAAGAATTCATTCAATTACACATTCATTCAATTAGCATCATCACATTCAAAACTTCCATTAAGGGCAATATTAAGGAACACCAATACAAACAAACCATATTAACTGATTAAATCAAATCAAAACTAGTTTTATTCAGTTCTACAACCATAAATTCATGTTTCAAGGCTCATCAGTGACATAGTCTTGTTTACTAAACTTAATAAATAGTTTCAAAACCATGTGCTGAATTCACCTATTTATCTACTGTAATCATGTACATCTTCACCCGTAATAAAACATTCCAAGCTCACTTTCAAATGTCAAAACCATTCAACTGCATATATCTACTATCAGTTTGCCAAAAGTTATAGTAAGGCACAGAGAAAAGTTATAATAGGGCCAGTTGGATCAAAGAGGATCATATCAAAACAACAATCTTTCCCTAAAGGCACGGTGTTGTTTTTAATTTGATAAATAGAATTGATACATATGGTACTTATCTCCCTATAAAAATGTGTTGCTGCTAAGGTATGATGATACATTTAATGAGTGAACAGAAACTAAAGATAACTCTCCTTCCAAAATAAGTTATCATCAAAATGTATGAACTTTGATGTGACCCCGCAGTGTCACCAACAGCTAAAATGATACAAAATGATAATTATAGGAGTCAATACTGTACTCTAATTAACAAGTGTCATCGTTGTTAATATAGAATGCCGAGTTATTCTTTGCTTCACCTTCCCTTGACACAGATCAGATTTCCCAATGTATAATTTCTCCCATTTCATTTATTTATTTTCAAACATCTGGTGAAAAATACAGATAAGGTGGATGACACCACCCTAGTGAGCATATTATCCACACAAAGAAGATGAACATGATTAATAAGCAGAAATGTAGCCAACGAAGAGAAAATTTTCATGAATACAAATCCAAAATGCCCATTCATTGGTCTTATATTTGGACATTTCAGTATGGCTTTTGGGAATTATTTTGGTTGGTATGGGAACACATTGAAATTTGGCAGATTGGTATGGGAAGATATTGATATTTGAAGGTTCAGCCTAAGACCCCGCCAAATTTTATATACAGTGAACCCTCCCCCCTCCGGGTACGACTTATATCATTTTATTTTTTAGTCTTCATTATTACATATCTAGTTTAGTAGGCCGATTGGACAACAGATAATTACCATGGAGATGAGTTCTTTGCCAATAAGTTACTGTGTCAAAATTAGAAAGTTATGATTTATTTTATAGTATGACATAATTTGAACATGACACTCTGAGTGGGTGTATCAGTGTCTATATCAAATATTTTGCATGAACAGCCAACTTAATATACTTTGTCAAATATTTTTCATGTTTTGTATGTACTGTACAGGGTGTCCCCGAGGTACACCCTGTAATGGCCTGCATATATACTTGCATTTAAGTTCCAATCACAAGCTAATAAGCTTATTTGGTTGAAATATTATTTTGTCTTCTATGCAAAAAGTGATTTGATTCAATCAAAAATCTTAATTTTTGAAAATCACTGCAGCCAACTTTAAAGGAACATATAATGTCTTATGATTTGGCTAGTAGACAGCCAGTGGTTCGGACACCACCTAGAGATTCATTCTTGTTTTTTAACCAAATGATTGTGATTTTATTATCATGTCAACTTTACACTAGAGCTTTAGTGATTGTGTTGGCTGTATGAAAATCTAAAAATAATATGTGTCGAAATATTGCATTTTAGAGTAATGCGCAGGTTTAAATGTGTTATTTTATAGTTTTTATCATAACAGGAAAAATAGTTGTTTTTTAATTAATACTGTTGTCCAATATTTTCAGAAATAGTTGTCTAATTAAATGGGTATTCAGTTTAAGATTAAAATCACATAAGCCATAAGCAATTGGTGCTAAATAGGAAACTGCTCAGAATGAATATCACATTCAAAATGATCTTATCTCTTATAGCTCTCTATTTTAATAAAACATTATAGATAATACAGAACATGTAAAGTAAATTCTGCAAAGTCCAGTTTTCACTGATTTAGTATGAACCTCTTTTAGTTGAACACCTCCCAAGTAGAATATTATTTTTAGGGTAACCAAGGCATTCCACTCATACAAGTGTTTTAAAGTTATGCCTTTTCAGGATTGATTAATCTCTCGCTCCGTATCCCATATCTTTTGCTTCGGAAATTATTTTCATGACCTCAAACTGTTATACTTACATTGACATAACTGAAATAGGTAGTGGTTACTTTGAATGTATCTTCTATTGTGTTTAATAAAACATTGTGCCAATAAACTTATAAATAGATTTATGCATTACAAAATCCAGATGAATTATTTGATTAAAAATAAATTTGTAATCACATACCTATTGGAGGTATAGGAAGTTAGAACTATGTTCTTTGTTATAAATCATATTAAAATATTTCCTTCATAATGGTCTGAGAGTTGTTTGGTTGATTAAATATAAAAGGGCTTCCATCCTTACAGGGTTCGTACACACCTGGAAATGTCAGGGAAATTGATTTATTTTTCCAGGTGCTGGAAATGTCAGGGAATTTTAAAATTGGGTCAAAAAGGGACAAAAATGTCAGGGAAATTTGAAACAGTAGATGTGTCAGGGAAATGTCAGGGAATTTTGTATCATTGTTGAAAAAATAATGTTCCAGCAAAATACATTTTAGGGCTATGACAGGATATCAACAATGAAATTCAAAATCATTTAGTTATTTCCACAAATTGGAAATCTTTTCATTAGGGTTGATTGAATGACATTAGATCTGGTATTGTCTATTTGTAAGAACAGTGTGAACACATTATACTGAAACCGAACAATATAAATAATGTATAGATGATTAATACAATTATGCTTTTCCATGTAGTAAGCTTAGTCTAAGGCAATTCAAAGTTAATTACTGGTACATATATGTTTCATGGTTTGTTGAGGGGTTAATCTGAGGGGGGAGTTGTATTTATATTAAGAAGCTGTCTGTTCGACAGTCCGGTCATGCGTCAGTCTTTTCAACTTTCAGGGGCTTTGCCAATTTTGAAAACCTTAGCCCATGGAAGTAGGCCCATAAGAAGTAGATTCTTTGTTTTGCATCCCCTTGCTTGCAAGATTTTGAGTAAATCAGAAATAACAAACACATCCAAATAGCAATCACAAGGGTCTAAAAGTAGCATCACATTCCTTCAATCAGAATCAGACGAAATGGCAATTTAACATGCGTCAAAATTGGCAGTGTTGTTGATTACTTTGGCATACATTGTGTATTTTATTTTCTTCTTTTTTACCCTTGAATAATAGCTATGTTTTAATACATTGTATAAATTCTATAGGCCTAGATATGTCTTTGTAATCACTGCAAATTGGCATGTCATCCCTTTTTATGCCCATAAAATGTATACATTTCTCAGCAAACAAGTTTGTATTTTTTCTTGAGTTTGTGTTTGTTTTCCTTGTACCCTTGAACTGTTGAATGATTTGGATTTTGCCAGGACGCGAAACAAAGAATCTACTTCTTATGGCCTTGGCAACCAAAATGTGTGTCGGGTACTATTAACAGTTTTTGAATTTGGTCCAAATTTTTCTTCGTGTAAAGATGAACCCGGCATTTTAGGGACAAAGGACCTGCTCAAGAAGAAATATTCAAGATGGTCTCTGAATTCAAAATATCACCATTTTTATGAAATTTTATTCCTGATAACACAAATACCGATTATTTGATTTGGTATCATAGGCCTGAGCCTTATCGTGATGCTACTTGAGAAGGAATTTCTAATATGGTGTCAATTGTTTAGGTGTAATTTTCCCAAAAGGGAGAAGACAATAGTAATGCCAGGTTAATACTATCATTTATAACATACCTATGATGATGTATAGTGCAAAGTGTACACAAGACAGCGGGCCAATATAAGTTTTAAAAAGCCCGCGCCCGCTAACTTTCTGATTGGTCAAGGCGCTGACGTCATAACCAATCAATCGAAGATAAAACTGCACGAGCAATTTTTCTTAACTCATTTCAATCATGTTCAAACCATTTGTTTGTCAATTCTATAAGAAAACGGTACTCTCTGACCAGTCTACATCATCATAGGTATGTTATAAATCGTTTATGTCACTATCGTGGCACATATGCCCTCGGTTCTCAGAGATCAATGTCCCTCCCAAGGTCAGGCCATATATCACTGAGACCTCGGGCATATATGCCACGATAGTGACATAACCTCTAAATAATGTTCATAATGATCAGTATTCAATAAAATATGTTTCATTAGATGGGAATTGCTCAAGTGAGTTGCTATTTTCTAGTAGGATTTAGATTAAAATTTTAAAGTTTTAGTTGTCATTTGGATTCATTACAAAACATTAAAAATTATGGTTTGAAATGCTTAGAATGCACCATATACAATGTCAATTTTAAAAAATTTCTGGGGGTGAACCTCCGTACCCCCCCCCCCTTGGGTTACTTTTGCTCGCAGTGATGCAAGCTCAAAAATTTACACCTTCTTGACACTTGCTGGCTTCGCCCCTATATACATGTACGAGTATGTTTACCTTTGGCCTTATACAATGTAAAATATGTAATATTAAAAATATAATGTATGTAGGAATAAATTGGTGAATCAGATGGCCTGTACAAGTAAAGTCATGAGAAATGGTACTGAAGGAGAAACCCAAAATGTTTCATAATAAGTCTTTTTGTCCTTAATAATACAGTTGTTAGAGATTTTTTAGAGGCCGTGCAAGGAAAATTAGATCTGGAATTTTCCTTTTTTGCCTGGAAATGTCAGGGAATTGTCAGGGAAATTCATTTTGAAAAAGGTGTACGAACCCTGTCCTAAAAGCTTCCATAACATTTCTGTTATATATTGGACAAACGAAAAAATACACAAAGATTAGGAGTTTATGGATTCTGGGCAAAAGCTAGATAATTGTATAGATAACATGCTTTCAATGATGTCAAATTCAATCTAGTTATAAAGATAATTATTTTTAAATATGTAATTAACTTCAAGTTTTATGTCACCACCAACAAAACTTTTTTTGCGGATGGTGTTCGACATTCGGTGGTCAGCATCTGTAACAAATGGCAGGTGGTGACATTTGACACAATACCTTGTTTAATAATTGTATACATTTGAGTAATATTATATTAATGTGCATGAAGTTTATAATATAGCCTTTGCATTATAAAAATAGAAAATATTTAATTCATTTTGTATTTTTAGATATTGATGATGCATTCATAACTAGTCCTATCTCAGCCACAATTGCTCCTAGTACCACAGACTATGCATTCTTCTGCTCTGTTGCATCCTACCCCGCTGCCACCATAGAGTGGAGATATGATGACAAGCCAATAAATGATAGAGATAGTGATTGGGCAACCATCAACACCAGCGAGGATGAACTTGTTGTGTCTACAACATTGGTTTTAAAATATCCCACTCATGCTAGATGGGGTGAATACAGGTGTTCTGCGACTAATGACTACTTGCAGGTGCCTTTGCTTAGTGACATTGCTGAACTCAAGATTTCAGGTACGAGGACATCTTTCTAAAGTGAACACATCAAAATGTAAACATTTTCAGTCAGTTGATCCAAACTCTGTATGTTGGCTAAAATGTACTCATTGATATGTAAAAAGGTGATTATTATTTCTCATGAGTTTTATTTCTATGTAGAAATTCAAAATGGTCATCCTTTTTCGGAAAAAAACACAATCTTTGATAACTCAAATACCAAGTGCTGATACCAAGGGATAAAGGACCTCTGTTCTAGAAGAAATTTTCAAGATTTACTTATTTTGGCAAATATGTTCCAGTCTGTCAAATACACAAGAGAAAATAGTTGAGTGTCGTGCTGATGTCTCACCTAAATCAATTATAGAAATGTTAAATGGGCAAAAACCTATGACTTTCAAATGTTTCTAACATTTCCAGGTAGCCCAGGATTCAAGATCTCTCCACAGACAAGTGACGTAAATGAAGGCAGCACAGCAATGTTCAGATGTGTAGGGAAAGGTATGACAGAACCTGACCAATACTGGGCCTTCAAACCTGACGGCAGTGCCACATACAGTGAGATATATGTGAGTATACATGGTTAGAAAAAGAGAAATTAGTGCTGCAATAGAGTCAGTATTATAATATGAAATCAATTGGTCGAGTTTTAAGAAAGCAATTATAAATCCATTGAATAACACATCACAGCGTAATTTAAAGATTAAAATTCTAAAAATTAATAATAATAACAGTTGTTATTGTTGAAGTCATGTAACATCTTATTGTCTCCTGAGGGAGAAACCAAAACATTGTCTCCCTATATACCAAATAATATATACAGTTGTTATTGTTGAAGTCATGTAACATCTTATTGTCTCCTGAGGGAGAAACCAAAACATTGTCTCCCTATATACCAAATAGTCATGTAACATCTCATTGTCTCCTGAGGGAGAAACCAAAACATTGTCTCCCTATATACCAAATAATATATACAGTTGTTATTGTTGAAGTCATGTAACATCTTATTGTCTCCTGAGGGAGAAACCAAAACATTGTCTCCCTATATACCAAATAATATATACAGTTGTTATTGTTGAAGTCATGTAACATCTTATTGTCTCCTGAGGGAGAAACCAAAACATTGTCTCCCTATATACCAAATAATATATACAGTTGTTATTGTTGAAGTCATGTAACATCTTATTGTCTCCTGAAGGAGAAGCCAAAACATTGTCTCCCTATATACCAGTTGACTATAAAGCAATAGGGAAGCATGAGGCCGTGGGTTTCACTAATATAGCATTTTACTTGCAGTTTAAATTTTCTTTTGAAACAAGCCAGAGATTTTAGTACAGGGTGACACAAATGCAATGCTGTAGATTTTTTTTTTCACCCTGTAATTGCTGTTAGTTCTGATATGGACAAAATTTCAAAGGGTGACCACCAATTTACTTTTTTCACATTACCTACAAAAACATAAACACTTGTAGCGGCTTTGTTGAAGCATTATCAGTTCCTTGGATGAGAAAATATTTGCAGGGTGAAGAAAATGCAAATAAGTAGAATGGCCAAATAACAAGGAATTTTGTGTTTGTCTCAATCCATTCAATCTCACCTGTTTTATTTGATACTTGACCATTTTCCTTACCTCTTTTGTAGCCCAACGACCCCAATAATATGACGTATCTATATGTGCACAATGTAACATCTGATGATGTTGGGTCCTATAGATGCAGTATAAACAACACAGATGGAGAGAGAAATGCTGAAGCTAATCTTACGCTAGGTAAAGTAGTTGATTAAATCACGTTTCTTAAATATCTTTAACATATTGACCCAGTCCTTTGTCAGAGGTTTGTAAAAAATGAAAGAATTTCGGCAACCATCTTGAATGACGCTAACTGCAGTTAGAGTCATCCAGCTGTGGAACAGTGTTTATGGGATAACATTTAAATCTCTACAATGTAGTTTGATTTACACCATATAAATTCAGTCTCCTAAAAAGCGATTAAAGGAACATTCCTTGCCAGACTATTTCTCTCCTGATATGGTAGCTACAATTATATATATACTTTACATATTTAGCAAAACACGGGAAAATGTTTTCATATGGTCAATATTGATCATTTAAAAATGTAGTACTCATTCCCAGTAAGCTGCCATCTTTTCAGATTTTTTCAGGAAGTGATGTCATCGACTCTCACCTGTTATAACCTTGTCTATTACAGTATAGGAAAGAAGTACAAAATCACTTTTAAACAAGAAGCCCTTATCTTCTGTGTAAAAATATTTTCGGGAGTTGTCAACTTAGAACTAAAGAAGAGATCATCAAAAGGATTTTAATCATAGACCAAATTGAAAAAAATATTCAGCTGGTTTAGTAATTCTAATAGCTCCTTACCTAATGTTATATGCAAAGTTGAGAGTCGATGACATCACTTCCTGAGTGAAATTTTAAAAGATGGCAGCCTACTGGAATTGAGCACTACATTTTTAAGTGATCAATATTGACCATTTCAAAACATTTTTCTGTTTTTTGATAAACTTGCAAAGTATGTATATGGTTATAGCTACCATATTAGGAGAGAGATGGTCTGGCAAGGAATACCCCTTTAAATGACTCAAGTTTTAGATGCTGTCCATACTATGGCCCAATTTAATGACATCATTTAACTTGTTCTAGTGGCCTATGCACCTGTCCTTGAAGATCCAATAGTGAACCAGTTTGCCAATCTTAGAGATGCAATCACATTGACTTGTTCTATAAGAGGGGCACCATTGCCAGAAGCTGTGGTCTGGAGTAAGGTAAGAGATAACATAAAAGTCAGATCAATAGGCTTTGGGTAGGAGAAATAACAGTTTTCGTGCTATTACCCCAAAAGTAGCTATGATGGCTTTAGTGAGCAGTCCCATTATAAAAACAAATGTCAGGTACTTATAGAAGCCAGTGGCATAGTCAGCAATCGTCAAAGTCGATGCGATTTTTGGTTTTTTTAAATCATTTTTTGGGTTTGCATCATTACGCCCATGGAAGCATAAAACTCACTGAATTCTATGTTGATTTGGTAGCTGGATCTGTATTGACCAACAATCTTAGTTTTCTGATTGGTTAAGGCTGGATCATTTGATCATCTCACGCTTAAAGAGTGTAGAACAGATGAAGCTCTCTTGAAAAGCAGTTAATATCAAACTATTAGAAAGGTTAGGTACAGTAAGACAGAGTAATTGGTGTCATCTTCTCTCTCACCAAAAACATATTTGTAAATATCATGAATAAATAACTTTTGTAGGTGAATGGAGATCTTCCAGACGAGAGCAGTACAGTCATCAAGAGTCAGTTCAATTGGCCTGATAGGGTGATCGGCACATTGAAGATAAACTATGTTATGGAGGAAGACCAAGGCATATACACATGCTCTTCAAGCAATTCAGAGGGCTCTTTCACTGAAAATGTCACCCTTTCAGTATATGGTAAGTTTCCAAAATAACAAGCTGTTATATTTTATACATTTAATAGATAAGAGAGGTCTCCTTGGAACAACTATCTCCTGTCACCCCAGCCAATCACCTTCTTCCCTCACACCAACCTTTCCGCCTATCCACCAGTGTTCTATCGCCTCCCCTCAAATCTTACTCAATTTACTTTTTGAAGTTTAAACGAAAAACCTTTGGGGAAAGTGGTTAAGAAGATCCTAATAGTGATTACACTATAGTTTGTATAGTGTGTGATCTAATTAAAAAGGGACTTACTAGTAACATACACAAACCCTACATTTCCTAGACTTTGGTCTGGGGCCTGCTTGATCACACTTGTTTTGTCTAAAATGCCTCATATGCACTTTTACCAGTTCACGGTGAAATGTTTTCCAATGGGAAAATAGGGAATGTTATTACTTGACATCAGAAGATCATCGGTAACCTATGTAATACACCATACAATAGCAAATTACACTATTCAAATTAGAAAAAAGGAATAAATATATATAAGGCAAAGTAGTTTAGAAGTTATACTCAGTTTATTGAAATTATACTCAGTCAATTGAATCAATAGAAGTTAGTCTTATAGTCTTAATTATGCCCAGTCTACAGAAGTTATTCTCAGTCTACAGAATTTATTCTCAGTCTACAGAATTTATTCTCAGTCTACAGAATTTATGCAGGTGTCAAGGTAGCAGATCTAATTCCAGTCCAGTATAGGCTTGTTGTTGGATCAGGATGTTGGTAGTTTCTCACAAAGGTGGCCCTGGAAATAACCAGACATGAAATGTACTGTATAGTACAGATAGAGGTCACTGCATGCCACTTTGCAACAGTGGTTGATCCAAACTGCAAATCTCCATGACCCGAATCTGGCATGGGGCAATCATTCAAACTAACTATTGAGAAACATGCACTTTGTGTCAAAAGATTTTAGGATACATAGTTTATAGATAAAAAAATTCAAAATTACATCAGTTACAATAATGCTTGAAATTCACAGTTTGACGTTAACAATTTTATTCTTGCTTTTCAAAATGACTGCCTCCTGTTAAAACTACCACACATGTAGGAATTAAAGCTGCTAGGAAACAATTTAGGGAGAAAAATGTCCAAACAAATGTTACGTCACTTTTTGAAGTGCCCATTTGTGCTATTTTATTAAGGTCACCTCAAATCTAATTGCTTAGTGATCTAATATAGGAACATGGTCAGTAACTTACACAAACACTACATTTCCAACACTCTGGTCTGGGGCCTGCCAGTTCAAAGACACCTGCGCCGCATTCAGTCTGTCTGAGTGTGACACCGTGCTGTTGTCATAGCTACATGCCATGTGTTTGGTCAAAGTGGGGAGGTTGGTCCATGTCCCTACCACTGTGCTTGCCTCATCACGTGCCTGGATCATGAATCCTTTAAATCTCTGACCATCTGAACTAGAAATGGTAACTGGAAATAAAAAGACTCATTCATTTGTAATTGTAAATGCTGATTCTAATTTTGTCAACTCTGATTCATTTTTTTCTTTTTTTTCAGTGTAACAATTAATTAACATTACATTTACAAAAGGAAGATATGATAAACAAATGTTTGTTGTGTTGTCATATGGTAAAAGGTTAACATGCTATTTTGAGTAAAACTTCAGTTTGGTTCAACTCTGATTCTACATTTGGTATAAACTGGATCAGCTTAACTATGCAACCCATTACTGTGTTACACTAAACTATGTTGCACATTACTGTGTTATACTAAACTATGTTACACATAACTTCATTACACAGCACTTCTGCACAGTTCTTCCATCCAAAATACTCTACTACATATCAAATTAAATTTATACTGCACAATATAACATTACATTAAGGTGGTGGTGTACCATCTTGGTTCACTCGGCTCCTGTTGGTCGCAGTGAATGCAGCAGTAAGAACGGAGCATGCGAAGATGCTTGGTTGTTTACCCGGAGGTTTAAGAATTACACTTCGATAAAGGGCATATATTTTTTATTCTCAAATGACCATGACATAATTATGCTTTATAACCAAATGAAAAAATTTCGAAAATTGTTGATTCCTATGTTGGAGATTCAGAGGCTGTTTTATTGAACGGCAGTTAAAGAAATCAAGTCGATTTTAAGAAAATATAAATCATAGGTCACTAACTTGTTTTTTGTCATTGCTCTTAAAAAAACAGTATGTGTTTGTATGATTTTTTCTAATATGTTGCTAAGTACCAAAGTGCATCAAAAATACTTTTAAGTGACAATACTGAGTATTATAATTCATTAAATATATGTACATCAAAATTATTTTTCAATATTTTAAATAAATCATTTTTCAAAAGTGAAATTTACATGCTAAACACTCATCAAATCATTGCACCTATGCTGTAGCCTGTATGGTGCCACTTGATGGTGCTTCAGTAAACTGCTTGCTTAAGTCTACAAAACAAATATATCCAGCGATCTCCTCACAATTTTTTCTCAAGTGCGTGCAAAATTCTCATTTTCACAATTCAGACCAACATTTGTCAAAATATGCCCATTTTTCATGATTTTTTCATTTTCAAGTGGGTACAAATGAATTCTCAGGTGGTTCTCATGTTTTTAAAACCTCAGATGGGTGCTGCGCCCACTTGCTTTAATGCTGGGGAGATCACTGATATCCTTACCTTGCACTTGCTGTCCTGGTGAATAGGTTGGAACATTGACATTAATTGTAAAAGGTGATCCGGGTTGTGATTCTGAACCGCCATGCAATGGTCTCAAGTCTTCACATGCTTCTATAGGGGGACCAGATGGGAAGGCTGCCACTCCACTTACAAGACTCAATAAAATTAAGCTTATCATATCGTAAGATTGTATGTTACGCTTCGCTCCTCAACTTGGGTTGAAATGAAATAATGTAAATTGTCACAGACTTTATCTGAATTCATTCAGTTAACCCTTTTTATTTGTGGCCTTCATTATGAAATGTATTTTTATACAGGGTAACCCTCAAATGTATCAGGGTATTGATAGTCACTTCTTCAACCATTAAATACAACATTGGATAGGAAATTAATTTTATATTTGATGAATATTAGAATCTGGAAAAGTAACGACTGGACATTGAGTTGTGGGAAAAGTTAGGAACATTTTGGTTAAATATACAGTGTACCAGGATAAAATGAAATTAGGTCAGTTTTTGATTTTTAAAATTTTTGAAACTGGGTGATCAGAAACAAGAGTGTGTTTGAATATATGCAGTAGTTAGTAGCAAAGCCTTTTAATTTGATCATTCACTGATTGACCTGAAAAAATATGTCGAAATATTGGTCAAACAAATTAAGTCCAGATCATGAAAATTTTTCGTGAATACTGAAATGATTATTGAGATGCTGTTCAATTGGAGTATTGTACAATGGGTTAAAAGACCATCCTTGGCCTTGTCTGCTATCCTTGACATCATTTATTTTTTGCGATATCATTGTGACTAATCAACGTTTTCAGACCATACTTTCCCACACATGTCAGTCTCTTAGCCAGCTTTTGCCAATGGGGGTTTACTTTCTAAAACAATCCAGAGGGGGGGGGGGGTTATTTGACAATGTTTGCCCAAAATCAAGCAAAAGTGCTGAAATTTGTGAAAAACTGCATGATTTTGAAATCATTTTTTTGGGGCTTGCCCACACCCCTTGACCCCCTTCCTCTCTAGCTACGAGCTTGCACGTGATAAGACTTGTGATTAATGATTTTAGTGCCATGTGAATATGAAATTGTGTTTGAAACATTTGTCATCATTAAGTTGTATAGATTGTAATGCATGGTTAAAGTTAACCGTAGTATCCAAATATTTTAATGTAATAGTTTATATGTTTTCACTATATATTGTATTGTATTGTATTTTTTCACCACCAATGAAGGTGGGCAATACCTCTTGGGTATATCCCGTATATATTTGGTCGTAATTTATGTAGTAGACTAGGTGCGAGCAGAAATAATCTTGATTTACATCATTAAATATTCAAAATTCAGTCAAAGTGATGTCATATTTGAAATCTGCATGTAAAAGTACGTCTAGAAATATGGTTTCAAAAATTGTTTATAAACTTTGAAAATTTGATTTTTTTGAAAATGTGACTTCTAGCTCGGGTTGATTCTCATAGACCCCATGATACAAAATCACAAAAAGTGAAATATCTTTTCTTGTATTGGACAGATAACATTTTCTTTTACTGGACATATTTCAGTTTGCATAACTATTAGATACATAAGGGTTATATGAAAATTGAATCATTAAAACAAATGTGATTTAAGTTTAAGGGAACTTTCTCCTATACCCGTCATGCTATCTGACCCGAACGAGCCACCTGGTGGTGAATCTGGTAACTATACCTACTCGCATCTGCGTTATTAACCTGGAAGATAGACCCAAAAACCCCTCCTTGAAGGCGCCCTGTATTCTTTTATGTGCACTTATCATAGACATACATTTTTGGAAAAAACACAATCTTTTCTTTGTTAACTCAAATACCAGTGGATGAATTTGGATCCAATTTGATATACCGATACCTAGGGACAAAGGAGCTCTGTTCAAGAAGAAATTTTCATGATGGCCGCTCTTTATCAAAATATGTTTTGTCTGGTGGGATTTGCTACTCCGTTGAGTTTTAATTTATCTGTCCAAACAAACCATATATAAACATGGATCACAGAAACAAAATATTGTTGATTTCATTTATTATGGTACACTAAACCACTAAGGCAACATTCTTTATGGAATATTTCCAAAGGTAAAATCATACAGTTTGGGCAATAATTCTGTTCAATGCCAGATGTTTGGCTCAGTCTATAAGGGCAGTGATCAGTCTGTAGGTGTTATTCAGGTGTCAAAACACCAGATGTAACTCCAGTCCAGAATAGGCTTGTTGTAGGATCTCCCCCTTGGAAGTTTCTCACAATGGTGGCCCTGGAAATAATCAGATATAAGATGAACAAAGACATACCCAGGATTTTTCAGGGGGCTCTATTTGCGTAATAATCATAATATTTCCCGCAAAAATATGAACCTCGAGTTTCATCTATGAATTCTGGGTTAATCCCCCCTCTTAATTGATAATTTTCAAAATGATTGCCTCTTTTGTTGACAGATCTTTCAGTATGTACTTAGTTCCCATGGTGCTATTATATGTTAGGTCCCCTGAAATCACTAAATAGTAATATAATTTAATAAAAAAGGGACAAGTTTAGTTACTTACACAAACACTACATTTCCAACATTCTGGTCTGGGGCCTGCCAGGTCATAGAAGCCTCCACCACATTCAGTCTGTCTGAGTGTGACACCGTGCTGTTGCCATAGCTACATGTCATGTGTTTGGTCAAAGTGGGGAGGTTGGTCCATGTCCCTACCACTGTGTTTGCCTCATCACGTGCCTGGATCATGAACCCTTTGAATATCTCACCACTTGAACTAGCAATGGAAACTGGAAGTATATTGACTCATTTGTTTTATAACAACTACATTTATACCACTGATTCTAGCTTTAGCTTTTTAACGACCTGAGGCGCTGCATGACATGTTACAACATTATATCACACTATATTACACATTTCTGCATTAGACAACACTGTATTACACATAACTATACTACATTATATACATTCTATCACAACACTATGTTACACATTACTACATTGCACAACACTATATCACATATTACATAATACTATTTTACTGGATTAGACAACATTATAAGTTATTGAATGATTTGAAGTGCAATACAGGATATATTCTGCTCGAGAAATTCCGTATTGGAACGAGACAAAGTTGAGTGCCAATATAGAATATCGAGACAATATATCCTGTATTGCACTTCAAATCATTCAATAACAGTTTTATCGTGTGATCCTCTGTATTGCTACTGAGACAGTCCCCTCCGTACCAATATTTTCTGTATTACTTTTATTTACTTCTATTCCACACACATCAAAAAGAACTCATTTCAAAATGTGAATGACAATGAGATAATAATATGAAATATTATATCATAAATATAATTCATTACACTACACAATATTACATTACATTATTACAAATACATGTACTCACCTTGTAGTTGCTGTCCTGTTACACAAATATATGTACTCACCTTGTAGTTGCTGTCTTGTTACACAAATATATGTACTCACCTTGTAGTTGCTGTCCTGTTACACAAATATATGTACTCACCTTGTAGTTGCTGTCTTGTTACACAAATACATGTACTCACCTTGTAGTTGCTGTCTTGTTACACAAATACATGTACTCACCTTGTAGTTGCTGTCCTGTTGCACAAATACATGTACTCACCTTGTAGATGCTGTCCTGTTACACATATACATGTTCTCACCTTGTAGATGCTGTCCTGTTACACAAATACATGTACTCACCTTGTACATGCTGTCCTGTTACACAAATTATGTACTCACCTTGTAGTTGCTGTCCTGGAGAATAGGTTGGGACATTGACATTTACATCATAAGGTGCTCTCCCTGGCTGTGATTCTGCACTATGCATGGGAGTCATGTCCTCACATGCTGATGTAGGGGGACCAGATGGGAAGGTCACCACTGCACTCACACTCACAAGAATCAATAAGATAAAACTCAGCATATTGTTCGATTCGGGTTGAAATAAAACTTATGAAAACTGTCACTGACTTTATTTAAATTAATTAAATTAACCCTTTTTTATTTGTGGCCTTATCAAGATAAGTGCCTTTTAATATGAGTACAGGGTAGCCCTAAAATATATCAGGTTATTGCTATTTGTCATTCTTAAACCATAATATACAACATTGGAAAGAACGTGTAATCTAAATTTTATTTAATGAATATTTTGGCTGGAATAGTAAAGGCTGCTGCGTTTTGAGATGTGAAAAAAGGTCATTTTTGTGAAATATTTCAGGATGGTATGATATTGATGAAATATTTGATTTATACAATTTTTGATCATTTGTGATCAAAAACAAGAGTGGGGTAGAATTTAAGTGGTAGTAAGTAGCAATTTTGGTTTTGGTTTTGGTGAAACACTGCATGATTATGAAAGAATTTTTAGATAGAATTGAACAAAAATAGTAAGGAGGAGACTTGATGAAAGACTGAAATTATTATTGAGCTACAGTTCATTTACAGAATAGTACAATGGGTTAAAAACATCCATCCTTGTGCAGTACATATATATAACCGCTCAACATTTGAAGGTTTTCAGACCATATTTTCTCATAATTATGATAAGATATGTGATTAATGATTGCAGTACCTTGTGAATGGGAACAGTTTGAAATTATGTTTGAAAGCATTTTGATAAATTAGGTGTGGAGATTTTTAAAATGCATGCTTTTAGTGAGAGGTGGTTTCCAAATCATTTTGTCTATTGGTAGTCCCAGATCATCGTAATTTCTTACATTTTACCATTTTTATGTCACCACCAAAAGTAGTGACATATTGTTATGGTCTCCGTTTTTTGCGACGGCGGTTGGAGGTTGGCGTCCGGCGTCTGTAACAATTTCTTACAACTTCCTATAACTTAACAAATACTGTTTAGATTGACTTCAATTTTTTTCTAAATCATCTACATGTTCTCAGAAGTTCAAATCTGACTTTAGATTTGACATTTGACCTTCAATGACCTTCTCAAGCTCAAAAAGGTCTTTTTTCAACTTGCTTCACATTGACTAATTTTTTTTTCAAAATCATCTACATGTTCTCAGAAATTCAAATCTGACTTTAGATTTGACTTTAGATTTGACATTTGACCTTCAAACCTGACTTTAGATTTGACATTTGACCTTCAATGACCTTCTCAAGGTCAAAAAAGGTCAAAAAGGTCTGTTTTGAACTTGCTTCAAATTGACTAAATTTCTTTTTCAAAATCATATACGTGTTCTCAGAAATTCAAATCTGACTTAAGATTTGACTTAAGATTTGACATTTGACCTTCAATGACCTTCTCAAGGTCAAAAAAGGTCAAAAAGGTCTGTTTTCAACTTGCTTCAAATTGACTAAAAAAAAATTTCAAAATCATCTACGTGTTCTCAAAATTCAAATCTGACTTTAGATTTGACTTAAGAATTGACATTTGACCTTCAATGACCTCAAAGTCAAAAAAGGTCAAAAAGGTATTTTTTCAACTTGCTTCAAATTGACTAAATTGTTTTTTCAAAATCATCTACATGTTCTCAGAAATTCAAATCTGACTTTAGATTTGACATTTGACCTTCAATGACCTTCTCAATGTCAAAAAAGGTCAAAAAGGTATTTTTTCATCTTGCTTCAAATTGACTAAATTTTTTTTTCAAAATCATCTACATGTTCTCAGAAATTCAAATATGACTTTAGATTTGACTTTAGATTTGACGTTTGACCTTCAATGACCTTCTCAAGGTCAAAAAAGGTCAAAAAGGTCTTTTTTCAACTTGCTTCAAATTGACTAAAATTTTTTTTCAAAATCATCTACATGTTCTCAGAAATTCAAATCTGACTTTAGATTTGACATTTGACCTTTAATGACCTTCTCAAGGTCAAAAAAGGTCAAAAAGGTCTGTTTTCAACTTGCTTCAAATTGACCAAATTTTTTTTTCAAAATCATCTACATCTTTTCAGAAGTTCAAATTTGACTTTACAAGTTCTCAGAAGTTCAAATCTGACTTTAGATTTGACCTTTGACCTTCAATGACCTTTTCAAGGTCAAAAAGGTCTTTACTTGCTTCAAATGTACTTAATTTTTTTTTCAAAATCATCTACATGTTCTCAGAAGTTCAAATCTGACTTTAGATTTGACATTTGACCTTCAATGACCTTTTCAAGGTCAAAAAGGTCTTTTTTCAACTTGCTTCAAATTTACTTAATTTTTTTTTTCAAAATCATCTACATGTTCTCAGAAGTTCAAATCTGACTTTTCAATGACCTTCTCAATGTCAAAAAAAGTCAAAGAGGTATTTTTTCAATTTGCTTTAAATTGACCAAATTGTTTAAGGTGATGACATTTTGTCATGTTAATGCCTTGTAATTGTTTTATGTTATTCATCAATTTCACAAAGAATTCTAGAATATGTCATCAGCCACGTTCATAAAAACATGTTCAAAATATTTAATCACTAAATTGAAATATACAAAGAAGTGGTTTTAGGGAGGATATAGTGGTAGATAATAGGGAGTTTAAGCTTGCGATGTTTTTCACAACCTAAACATGAACAGAAAATATTTGGGCGATTGGTCATGATTATAGATTTGGCATTTCGATTTTTTATGCAAGCTTAAACTCTCTAATATTTGACTTCAACATTTGCACCTTTTAATTATTGTTGTTTCAGAAACACCTGTGTTCAGTACAGCCCCAGGCAATCCTGTTGTTCAGAATGGTGATGAAGTGAACCTGCCCTGTAGACCAACTGGAAACCCAGCCCCAAAAACTCAGTGGAGACTTAAAGATGGAGGTTAGTTTTTGGGAATCTGATTGGCTGATTTAAGTCATGTGACTGTCTTGGACGAGGCACGTTATAGTATGGCAAGTGAATTTGTATAGCCTAATCTTTGACCATGTGTATTTTCTCATTATTAATACAATATTTCTCATCAAAAATATATGGCACAATGATATTGAGAGTCTGATTCAGAAACAAAAAATTTAGAAGCAAATGTGTGAGATATACGCACTTTTGTTTTTTTTTGAGAAATGAATTGAGGAAAATATATTATTTTACTGAAAAGGGTGTATTTATGGTCAGAATACAATCATGGTCAGTGATAGAACCATCAGTCCTAAATATCATTTGCCATAACATTCCTGGTCTTTGGATCATCCAGGTCAAACCAATGCATTATAAGTCGCCCGCTACATTCGGGATGAATCCTTTTCAACATGTGTTTATCCAACCCAGCATTCAACACTTTAAAATGATCTTAGAATAAAAATTTTAAAAAAGAGAAGTATTGACATGTAGTTAAATGTCAGTTACTGTAAAAGTGAAACATTTCCCTTTTTTATTTTTTTTATTTATTATTTCCTAATGAAAGATACAAGTATACAAATAACATAATACAATACGAGCAACAGCAACAGTAAAACATTTCTTGCTAAAATTATCATCCTAGTCCATGAGGCAACTAATAAAATTTCTTCTTAAACCATAAAGGCATGAGAACAAGAATATCTTTTATACTGCAGGTTTTATGGACTTGGGGAGTGAGACTGACCATTACCAAGTTTTTTACAATGGGACTCTGCGCATTAAGAAAGCATCTCCTAACACACATGGGGGATATGTATGTTTCGCAGACAATGAGAAGACAGAGAGGCAGGGATACATATCAAAGGTTTTTGTAAATTGTGAGTATTTTCATTCATCAAAATGCTCGGATTAATTTGCACTATAATACTTGCTGTTACTCCAGTTCAAGTGCTCAGAACTCTGGTTGAATAACATAATAGTTACTACAAATTACTATAATCACTGTTAATATAATTCTGTTTAGACCATATGAAAAATACTTGCTATGAATATGATGAGAGTGTAAATATAATTTACACTGTTTGAAGTGATTCCATTTGTTTTGTAATGATCCTAAACTTAAGTTTTGTAATGATTCCCCGTGTGCATGCTATGTAATGATTCCCAATGTTCATGCTATGTAATGATTCCCAATATGCATGCTGTGTGATTTTAGACGCACCTGTATTTGATGATAACCAACCAAGCAAGTTATATCCCCACCAAGACCAGGATGCATTTGTATCATGTAATGTAAAAAGTCATCCCAACCCAACAGTGAGTTTAAACACTAAAATACCAGTAAAGTATATACTAATAGTTCAATTTGTCACAAAATCACCCCCCCCCCCCCCACAAACTCCTACAGAATTATTGTAAAAATGGGGTAACAGATATTTGATTAAGGAAAATGATACATTGAAAATATATTTCAATGTGTGAGACTGATAAATGAATAAGATCAACCAATACAATACAATACCAAACAATACAATTCAATTCAATACAAGACAATACAATTCAATACAAGACAATACAATACAATAAAATACAATACAATACAATACTCTTGTTTAGGACATAATGCAAAATGCATTTGGAAAATTTTATGCAAAAGCATGCCAAGATGGAATTTGTGGTTTTTCAGTCATTATTTCATGCATCAAACACTCTCTACACAAGAAAATTCAAGAATACCACACCATCATTTATGGAGAAGTTATTGGTTCAGATACTTTGGGAGTCAGTCTGTATAATTGTCATGTAATTTGTGTTTAGATCAGATGGTACCGTGGAGAATCTAAATTGGGGCCTCTAGGTTCACCTGATTATCAAGTGTTCCCCAATGGCACACTCAAGATCTTTAACATTCAGCCCCGCGATGATGCTCCATATTATTGTGATGCACAGAATAGAGAAGGTGAAGCCGAGAGACGTGTAGATGTAGAGGTTCGAGGTAAATGTGGGCTTTGATGATTTATATTCTTTCAGTGAAATAAGTAGCCGTGCCTAAGTCAGTATTTATCAATTATACTGTAAAATTAATGATTAAAATAAAAAAGACACTGGATAAAGCAAAGCTATTGAATTAGTAAAATGAAAACTGGACCTGCAATCTCAAGTTTCATTTGACATTTTTCACTTTTAACCTTGACCTCCAGTCTGCCACCTTTGACCATGATATGAAGTCTCATCCCTAGTTCACATCAAAGGTATACAATATATTTTGTTAGTACCTCAGCTGAAATACTCGATTCTGATTGGTTGATTAGCGGTCAACAATATGTACTGTTGACCGCTACTAGGTACTGTTGACCGCTACTTTTGAAAAAGTTTCATGACGTCATATTGTTTAAAGAAAAAACATGGCAGACGGACATTTTGTAAACGTTGATAAAAGTGATATTTTGACTTTACTAGACTACAAGTATAGGAAAAATACAAAAAGAAACGTAAAATTAACATTAATTTACTAATGAGTGCGCATTGCTGGCGTGGTTCGGAGAAAAGATTGTGAAATGAAGCCATGCCGATTGATGATTGTCGTCTATATGTGTATTATTAGTTTCTTCGGACTAACAAAACAATTGTAGACCTCTCCATTCGGTCAACCGTCAAAATCATATACCTCGACTGTAAACCTTGAAACTACTGTTGACCTCGACCTTCGGTCTCTGTGAACAGTAGTTTCTCGGTTTACAGTCTCGGTATACAATTTTGCCAGTTGACCTCTGGAGAGGTCAACAATTATATACTGTTCACCCTGAGTTAGGGACAACAATTGTACATATACAGCAAGTTTATGATTTGTATTCCAGCTCCACCTAAGATCATATTTAGTCCAATAAGTCAGATGGTTGATGATGGTGGAATAGCCTTTTTAAAGTGTGATGTTGCTGGACGACCGAAGCCTTCCATAAAGTGGCTCTTCCAGGATGCAGACTTACCCAGAGGTTTGTTGGAATATCTTGAGTGAATCGAAAATATAAGGTTTCAATATTATTAAGGTTTCAAAATATATTCAGTTCAATTATCTCAGCATATTGCTCTGTATTATATTTACGATGACTATGGTAGTGAAACATTTACAATAAGTATTTTTTATTTCCATATAAAGGCAGAAATTAACCTTGCACACAATGCCTTTGGGCAAATCCAATCTAAAAAATATTGTGAAGTTATGATTCTCTAAATTCAATAAACAAGTTGTCATTGTAACAACTTGAAAAACAAAAGAATTTTAGTAATCATAATTCAAGGCAATCAGAGCATGGGCTTTCAACTAGAATTTAAAGCCCATGTATTGAGTTATTAACCTTTGTCATGCTTATAATACACTTTTTAATTATTTATTTTTATGTCAGAATTGGGTAAACTATCTTCAAATATGGAGCTTTCCTCAGGTGACCTTACAAGTAGTTTGAGTGTGTCAAATATACGCCAAGAACAGTTAGGAAAGTACACATGTGTAGCTAGTAACAATGCAGGAACAGTTACTGCCAGTGCTATTGTCCACACTCAGGGTAAGAGCACATTTTTGTTATAACATTGAACAAGTTTCGTAGGAATATAGTGAAGTTCTCTGTCCTTGTGTCAACTTTAGGGATTATAATCAAATACTGGAATAGTTAAATTTTCTGATTTGGTAGAAAGATGTATAATAGCAGTGATCAGGTGGCTGCAAAATTGTTGTTTTCCCAATTCAGACCAAGATTGGTCAAAATATGCCAATTTTTCATGATTTTCTCATTTTCAAGTGGGTGCAAATGGATTTTCATGTGGGTGCAAGCCTATTTTCAAAATCTCAAGTGGGTGCTGCGCCCACTTGCTTTAATGCTGGGGAGATCACTGATAGTAAAAGAAATTTTGGCCACATCTCAAAAATGGTAGCTTATAGGGACACCATTTAATATTCATTTGATCACTCATTAAGAGGATCAGAAAACCTATTTCCAATAAGACATAAAACTTGGGTGGTTTAACTAGTAAGAGTTATATGTATTTGGAAACAGATTTCCCTCGATTTGTTGTGAAACCTGAGGATGTCAAAGTTGACTATGGTAATGCTGCCAGACTCTATTGTAATGGGACTGTCCACATAAACGGCACAATTCTAGCTGTTGATTGGTTCAGAGACAATGGTGATTGGACATACACACCTCAACCAGATAACTCCAGTGTAGGAGATGTGAAGCTAGCTGATGGCAGCCTCAAACTATCTGTAAGTAGAAATTGCTTCACCGTTATCAAGGCTTTTTTTATATACCGGATGTATTCTGGATGGTCATTGGCTCATTTATGGTCACATGATATGAAATAAGTTATCTCTTTCCATGGAAAGTTATTGCTGCCAGGGAATATGAAATGCCACATTTTTAGGAAATAGTGCCCTTGAAATCAAATTACAGGACATTCCCTCTGGAAATATCTTTCACTGTTTCCTCGTCCTTCTATGGCAGCCACTAATGTGGAATAGAGAGTCACTTGTATTATTGATTCATGTAATAGGGTGGAAACATGTCAGTTTGGTAGAGTACAGGAGCATGACATTTCACCAAGAAATATTAAGAATTTTGCACACTTAGTTTTTGACTTAAAAGCTACTTTATCAAATTGAAACGCCCCATGCATATATATTTTAACAGTTACAATTTAGCTTTGATGTACAACATTGACATGACATTTATTTTTTACTTAATTTTTTTTTTTTAGGAATTTTCGATATGGAGAAGGAAGAAAGATTGAGTCAAATCTTAGATTATCTAGTAATAGGTATTTTAATTTCACCATATATATCCTAATATTTTCAGAGTGTAGACTTTGGAGATAGAGGGCGCTATGTGTGCAGGCTCAGTACAAATGCTGCAAGTATCAATGCATCAGCCTATCTGCAGGTTAATGGTGAGAATGTGTTTTTTCACAGTTATTCGGTCACAGTTATTGTCCCAGGGCATCTTTTAAATTCACAATCCAAGACGCAATGAATCTCTTGAAAGCTGTTTCACTTATTCAATTTCAGTTATCAATTCTATGATTAAGAAACCTAATAGATTACTTGTAGTTACATACATAATAAAGATACCATAAATGATACATTATCTCCAAAATAAATGCTAGAAATGTTATAAAAAGCTCTTTATTAAAGCTCCATATACCGTTTAATATTCATTTTATGTGCATGTTTAATATGAGAGGGATGAGAGATGATGCTCAACAACTGATTCAATTTATATTACTCCTGTTCATATCCATCCTCCGATCACAGGGCTTCAAAATCCAGAATGTATTCTTTCTTTTTACCCCCTGCGATAAGCAGTTAGCATTTCCCCGATTTAGAACTCGCATTCTGATTGGCTGACGCAACACTGCGACAGAAATCATGTATAAGTCATTGCTTATAATTAGATCACCTGATTCAGTTTAATCGGGCGCTTCCAAATTGGTTATAGCAGGGGGAAGAAGGAGGTACGGATTCTGGATACCTGCTCAGGAGGATGGTTCATATCTTGTTTTAAATGTTGTTGATTGCCCTTCATAGGTAAACCCATACTGGATAGTTTAACCAATGAGGTAGAATATGCCGGGAATGAGATACAACTAGCATGTCCCTCCACTGGTGACCCTTACCCCACAACCACCTGGACTGCACCCACAGGCTATGAAGTGATGAACAATAACCCTCACTATCGCCAGATTGGGGATAATCTGCTCATACATGCCCTTTCTGTTGAGAGAGACTTTGGAAGGTGGACTTGTAAGAAATGTAATTCATACGGGTGTGCTGAAGATACATTGATGATGACTATAGTTGGTAAATACACTTAATCTAATTTGTAAATTTAAATAGATGCTTGTTCATCATTAGAATTTATATCTGCAATAATTCAATCCTATTGATACATGTACCTCAATGTATTTGAAGAAAAGCACAAGTTTACGCTCACTTCAAATCTGATTCCCCTTCTCTATATTCATAAAAAGGGAAGACCACATGTAGCTAAGCTTGTTTGATGTAAAATTAATAGATGCAGTTTGCTAAGAACATAGATCTGTTCATATCTTATTGAAGAAAAGTCCAATATTACACAAAACTGTGAATGAATCGTCACATCTTATTGTAGGAAAGCCCAATATTACACACAGTGTAGGTAGAGACATTAACCCTGTGAATGAATCATCATATCTTATTATAGGAAAGCCCAATATTGCACACAGTGTAGGTAGAGACATTAACCCTGTGAATGAATCATCATATCTTATTGTAGAAAATTCCAATATTACACAAAATGAAGTTAGAGATGTTAACCCTGTGAATGAATCATCATATCTTATTGTAGAAAATTCCAATATTACACAAAATGAAGTTAGAGATGTTAACCCTGTGAATGAATCATCATATCTTATTGTAGGAAAACCCAATATTACACACAGTGTAGGTAGAGATGTTAACCCTGTGAATGAATCATCATATCTTATAATAGGAAAGCCCAATATTACACACAATGTAGGTAGAGACATTAACCCTGTGAATGAATCATCATATCTTATTGTAGGAAAGCCCAATATTACACACAGTGTAGGTAGAGACATTAACCCTGTGAATGAATCATCATATCCTATTGTAGGAAAGCCCAATATTACACACAGTGTAGGTAGAGACATTAACCCTGTGAATGAATCATCATATCCTATTGTAGGAAAGCCCAATATTACACACAGTGTAGGTAGAGACATTAACCCTGTGAATGAATCATCATATCCTATTGTAGGAAAGCCAAATATTACACACAGTGTAGGTAGAGACATTAACCCTGTGAATGAATCATCATATCCTATTGTAGGAAAGCCCAATATTACAAAAAATGGAGTAAGAGACATTAACCCTGTGAATGAATCATCATATCTTATTGTAGGAAAGCCAAATATTACACACAGTGTAGGTAGAAACATTAACCCTGTGAATGAATCATCATATATTATTGTAGGAAAGCCCAATATTACACACAGTGTAGGTAGAGACATTAACCCTGTGAATGAATCATCATATCTTATTATAGGAAAGCCCAATATTACACACAGTGTAGCTAGAGACATTAACTCTGTGAATTAATCATCATATCCTATTGTAGGAAAGCCCAATATTACACACAGTGTAGGTAGAGACATTAACTCTGTGAATTAATCATCATATATTATTGTAGGAAAGCCCAATATTACACACAGTGTAGGTAGAGACATTAACTCTGTGAATTAATCATCATATCTTATTATAGGAAAGCCCAATATTACACACAGTGTAGCTAGAGACATTAACTCTGTGAATTAATCATCATATCCTATTGTAGGAAAGCCCAATATTACACACAGTGTAGGTAGAGACATTAACTCTGTGAATTAATCATCATATATTATTGTAGGAAAGCCCAATATTACACACAGTGTAGCTAGAGACATTAACTCTGTGAATTAATCATCATATATTATTGTAGGAAAGCCCAATATTACACACAGTGTAGGTAGAGACATTAACTCTGTGAATTAATCATCATATATTATTGTAGGAAAGCCCAATATTACACACAGTGTAGGTAGAGACATTAACTCTGTGAATTAATCATCATATCTTATTATAGGAAAGCCCAATATTACACACAGTGTAGCTAGAGACATTAACTCTGTGAATTAATCATCATATATTATTGTAGGAAAGCCCAATATTACACACAGTGTAGGTAGAGACATTAACCCTGTGAATGAATCGTCACGTCGTGTAGCTAGAGATGTAAACCCTGTGAATGAATCGTCATATCTTGCAATCTCATGCCCAGCTGTTGGCTTCCCTTCTCCTTCATTTGATTTCTGGGCTAAGGACCTAACAGGGGAGGACTATTCATGGATACACCCAAAATACCCTCCAGTAAGTGACTGTTGCAACACTCTTCCATTAGATACTCAAACTTCATCTTTTCATTAACTCTTGGATACCATTTTTGATATTTTGCCATTTTTGCCATTTTGCTACCTTAATACTACGTGATGCACAATTTGGTAAGATGTACAAGAGATAAACCAATTACACACATATTATAACATAATTTGTGGGTGAAAATTTTCTAACAATAGAAAAAGGAAATTTTCTTTGGTCGCTTTGGATATTTAAAAGTTAATTTCATTAAAAAAGAGAGTATTTCATATTTTAAATCAAGCTTTAATTTGTGTTTCTAGGCTGACCATGAAATCATCACTACAGAGACTCCACCACAACTGAGAATATTTGGAGGGAATAAGCGCGATGGTTACAAGTGTGTGGCCAAGAACATGTATGGCAGTGATATCTGGGATTTGACAGGTATGTCGCTGGCCTAGTAACATGTATAGGGGGAAATAAAACAATTCCACCTCCACTAGAGCAAAAACTACTTCAGGGTCATTTACCTTTAGTAGAATTAAATTATTTTAATAAACTAATTTCATTTTATATTACATCATCAAAAATGATAGTTATAAGCATGTTGGACATGTAAAGCACTATATAGAAAGAAACACTACAATATATTGATCAGTCATCCTGAACTACTAAATGTATAAGCTCTGATTTGAGATGTTTTGTGCATTTCAGCACCTAGGGCCATTGCCCAGCCACTTCCCTATACTAGTACCCCAAACACAGCTACAGTTGATTGGGTGGATCCAAGAGAGAAAAATCTTCCTATTAAACATTACAACCTCAACTACAGACAAGGTATGGCTGCTATATATAGCATGGTAACTTTATTAAAAAAACATGTAATCAGATTTTTTTAGACAGTTTCAGGAAGGGATGACATATGGTTAACCACACTTCTTTCTTGACCTGCATGTCATTTAATGTATTGCTTTTTATTAATGGCTTGTATGACTTTAACCACATGTATGGATTCATCAGAAAATAAGAACCCATGATCAAACTCTGGTCAGTTTACATTTAAATCATTTAGCAACACATTTCACAGTACCTCGAAACACATCAACAAACAGGGCATTATTTTTATGGTTCTTCAAAACTTTAATTATGATTTATACAAGATACTTGTAGTTAGAGGGTAAAATAGTTGACCATTGATAATTCAGGGTAAGTGTTATTCTTTGCAGGTGATGGTACTTGGAATTCATTGAATGAGAATGTACAGAGTCTTCCTCACACTATAGACAACCTGCAACCTTACACCCAGTATGAGTACATGGTCCAGCCAGTTAATGCACTAGGGACTGGTTCCTTCTACCATGGCTCAAAGGTCACTACTGAAGCTATAGGTACTGGACATATTATTGACTCAGTTTAAGAGTTTGCGATTTTCCCTTTAAAAGGGAAATTTAGTGTAAAATGAACTAGAGAATACATGTGTGCCTTAGCTTAATATCTTCATTCGTCCATCATATCTATATGATAAATAAATTAAGATAGTATCCTTATCTGCATGATTCTACCTTTTTAAAACTTAATTTTAAACCAAGTTAATCTGTTGTGTGTACTGTACCTTATTTGCCCACTTTACTTTATTTGCTTGATCTAAGAATGATTATGCATGGCCTGCATGTATTTCAGCACCCTCTATCCCTCGCAACATGGAATGTGTGATAGCTGACAATGATGGGAACATTACATGGAATGCACCTGCAGAACTGAATGGAAATCCAGGTTTGTGATGTACAATCATGAGTATTTGATGTATTCCTACTCAACACTAAACTTAAAGGGCTAACAAAGACTAGACATGAAATGAGAGTAGTTTTCAAAAAATGTCACAAATTTACAATATTGTTTACTCACAACATTTAATATCATGCCATTTTCTTAAAAGTTATGCATTTCTGAATTCTATCTTTTATTTTATTTTTAGCTGATATCATCTATGAAGTGAAATACAATGATGAGAATGTTCAGAATCCTACTTATAAATCAAAAACTACTAAGGATAGGTCCATAAGACTTGATGACGTGGAACACAAACACAATTACACTGTGAAAGTAAGGGCAGGCAACAGAGATATTGGTGAATGGGGGCCATACACCACAGCTTGCAATCTATTAGCTGTTCCTATAGGTAAGATACACCACAGCTTGCAATTTATTCACTGTTCCCATAGGTAAGATACACCACAGCTTGCAATCTATTAGCTGTTCCTATAGGTAAGATACACCACAGCTTGCAATTTATTCGCTGTTCCCATAGGTAAGATACACCACAGCTTGCAATCTTTTTGCTGTTCCCATAGGTAAGATACACCACAGCTTGCAATCTATTTGCTGTTCCCATAGGTAAGATTCACCACAGCTTGCAACCTATTTGCTGTTCCTATAGGTAAGATTCACCACAGCTTGCAACCTATTTGCTGTTCCTATAGGTAAGATACACCACAGCTTGCAACCTAGTTACTGTTCCTAATGGTAAAGTATAGCACAGCTTGCAACCTAGTTGTTCATATAGGTAATATACACCACAGATACATCATTTTGGTCCAAAAATTGAGCTCACCTTGTATTAAAGCTGGTTGATGTGGGTGTTTTCAATGGATAGATAACTTAATTTTACCTAAAGTGAATTATACTGAGTTAGATTTTTGAAACACTCTACTTTCGATTATGCAAGAGGATCTTTTATTCCAATGCTATGAAGATGTATTATGTTATGTAATGTGAGGTTTTAGATATGAAGCTTAACCAATTTGTTTCAGTGCCCAGATGCGCCCCTACCCTCAAGGAGGCCAAAGTTATGGGAGCACATGATGTTAAACTAACTTGGGAGGTGAGATATATTGCCATGTAATTTACTTATCTAGTACCACTGTTTGAGTTATAAATTTTAGTTAAATGTAGAGGGTGTTCCGTATACACAGATGTTTTACACTTGATGATACATTGAATAACACTTCTGTTTTTTCTCACAGGACAAATGCAACACGTTTAAAGATGGCTATCGTGTATGTTCCAAAGAATCAGTAGATACCAAGGACTGGCAGTGTACAAATTACAGCAACCCTCAACAGCGTTCTCAGCTTGTGACAGGTCTTGATGAGAGCACAGAAAATAGCTTTGTAGTTGCAGCTCTGAATGATGCAGGCCATGGGCCATATTCCAATGAGCTTCAGGCAAAAACTGCTTATGGTAAGTAGTGGTGTGTGAGGCACAATGCCCTTTGCTCCCCTTTTCACTAATGAAAGTTAAATTGGTGTGAAAATTGGCCAGGTCAGAAGAACGTAGTTCATTATTTGAAATTAAATTATTCCAATTATTTCACAATTGTAATTAAACTGTGAAAGATTGTTTCATTTAGTGAGTTTCATGATGAAATGTAAGTATGGATTTAGTGAATTGCTGTAAATTTATTCATATTAGTGTAGATTGTATATGTATTTTTGACTTTCTTTCCCTGATATTGCACTTTTAAATTAAACTTTATTTAAGCATTTATTTATGTATTTAATTCTTTATTTAAGGATTTAAGCACTGAGCTCAAGGCTTTTTTGTAAAAGATAACACAAGTGGATTGTTCCTTCCTGAAAGAATGTTGAGGTTTAAGGAAGTAGCAATCTATGAATGATATATTTTACAAATAAAGCATTGAGTTCAGTGCTTAAATGTTTTTCACACGTGGCAAAAATGGTTTTACAAAAACAATAAATTACTCATATAAGGGGGAGTGAACAGGACAGGCAACTTTAATTATGAATTTTGTTTAACCATTTTGGAAATGACAGCATGCCACCTAGCAATAAGTTAGATTTTATGTTGTTTGTTTCTAATATTGTTTAACCATTTTGGAAATGACATCAGCATGCCACCTAGCAATGTTGTTTGTGTTTAATAGTGATTAGCCATTTTGGAAATGATATCAGTATGCCACCTAGCAATGTTGTTTGTGTTTAATAGTGTTTAACCATTTTGGAAATGACATCAGCATGCCACCTAACCTAGCAATGTTGTTTGTGTTTAATAGTGATTAATCATTTTGGAAATGACATCAGCATGCCACCTAACCTAGCAATGTTGTTTGTGTTTAATAGTGATTAGCCATTTTGGAAATGATATCAGCATGCCACCTTGGACTAAATTTTAAATATGGGTTTCTATATGTTTGATCAGAATTATCTAAATTGCTCAATTCAATTCAGAAAATAAAATTAGGATAGTAGGGAAACATTGGCATACTTTTTGAAAAATTGCTTCCAACATTTTAAGACTTGCTGTCATTTTAAGAGATCAGAGTGTCTTTATAATGAGGTTTATGTACAGTACAGTACATTCCCGCTTTAAGGAAGAGAGCAGTATGTGATAGCAATGTTCATGTATTTCTTTTGTTCCAAATGCAATAAGCATATGGCCTAGTCACATAGCCCGGCCGATGTCCAGCATCGGTAGAGCTTGGTGGATCTTTTTGGTGCCTCCGAGCTCTCCACATCGGAAGCAGAGCTCGGTGACGTGAACGGACTCCGTCCGGACATCTTCAGGCGACCGACCGAACACCGGCCGGTGACCGTACGGAGTCTGTCTCAAAATGGTAGTTTTTTTCTGCCGATGTGGCAGCAACTACCGGCCGGAGGTCGGCCGGACATCGGAAGGAATACGGCCGGTACCCGAGCAGGTAACAGGACACCGTGCGATCGCCGGCCGGGTTGTTAATGGGCTTTGAACAGTGACCGGCCGATGCTCTGTCCCACATCGGCCGGAGCTCGGTCGGAGCTCGGCCGCTGTCCGTTAAAAAACCTCGTCCTCTGGTTGTCTCAGATGCACGGGACACCGGCCGATACTCGGCCGTGCACCGGCCGACGTGTTTTCCGATGTGGTACCGATGACATGATGAGGGAGCTCGGTGAGAGCCCGGTGATATTTAACTCCGAAGTTAAAATTTCACCGAGCTACCACCGATGCGGTTTTAAGCAACAAACGCCACGGATGTCCGGCCGGTGTTCGGCCGAGTTCGGTGAAAATTGCATCGCTGGCTCATCGTAACCTCATCGGCCGGGCTATGTGACTAGGCCATTAAAGAAAAATGTTTAAGTATGAATTTCATAATCCTTGATTTTCAAACAGCTACTAGATTCAAATTCAAAAAAGCGTTAAATAGTTGACTAAGGGTAATACTGCCAGTTGTTTACACCTAATGATTTGCAAGTTGGTACAAAAATTCTGTTAGCATATTCCAGCTAAATAATAATGCAATTTTATAAATAATGCCAAAATACCAGACCCTTTCCTGGCACTTTTGGACCACCCTGTACATGTTCTTAATATAAGAAATACTCATATTGCATGCATAAACATACCATAGGCATGGAATACAATTTTAAACATTAACCATATATGTTTTGTTAACTAATTGTACTTGTGTCAAGTTAACATTTCTATGTCACCTGCAAAAGTGGAAACATATTGTGATGGTCTCTATTTTTATGTCATCACCAAAATGTGGCGACATATTATTATGGTCTCCATTTTTTGTGACGGCGATAGGTGGTTGGCGGGTGGCAGTTTGCCTCTGTAACAAATTTTTACAACTTCTAATATCTTAACAAATACTGTTTAGACTGACTTCATTTTTTTTCAAAATCATCTACAAGTTTTTAGAAGTTCAAATCCGACTTCAGATTCGAGATTTGACCTTCAATGACTTTCTCAAGGTAAAAAAAGGTCAAAAAGGTATTTTTCAACTTGCTTCAAATTGACCAAATTTTTCAAAATTATTTACAAGTTCTCAAAAGTTCAAATCTGTCTTAAGATTTGAGATTTGACCTTCAATGACCCTCTTGAGGTAAAAATGGGTTAAAAAGGTATGTTTCAGTTTGTGTCAAATTGATCAATTTTTTCAATATCATCTACAAGTTCTTAGAATTTCAAATCTGACTTTAATTTTGAGATATGACCTTCAATGACCTTCTTAAGGACAAGAAAGGTCAAAAGGTCATTTTTCAACTTGCTTCAAATTGACCATTTTTTCAAAATCATCTACAAATTCTCAGAAATTCAAATCTGACTTAAGATTGAACCCATAATGTTGTGAGCAACTAAGTGGTGTCATGTTAATGCCTTGTTATATAATCTTCTTGTCTTTAATACTGGAGCCAGTAACCAGTTAAGCCTTATACAAAATGAGCACAATAACCAGAAAATGTTTACTTGAAGTACAATTTTCAAAATTAAACAGTATTTTCATTGTCAACAATGCTATGAGTCAAGTTTGCATTTTACCTTTTGTCTTTATAACCATTGACCAGTTAAGCCTAATACATGAAATGAAAAAAATTACCAGAAAACATAGATTTAAAGCCATGCCTATGGTAACACATTTTGATAATACACTAACACGTCTTACCAACATCTCACCTCATCAACCATCCAGCTGTATCTTTTCTAACACCCCTGCACTGGTTTACTATAGAACAATCTAGAAACCTCTGAGATTGCAGCCTCGATCATTTCAGAGTTGTATACATGGATGGGTGATGGTTACTGGACGGGTGGTAGGATTGCTGGTCTGGTGATAGGCCTAGTGGCAGCGCTGTTCCTCATCCTGCTATTGCTGTTCTGTTGCTGTAATAGAGGAGGAGGACCCAAGGTTGAGAAACGTGGTGGACTTAACATTGATGGTGACGTTGATGGGGATGTAGAAGCAGGTACAGATGAAGCCTTTCCTGTTTTACCCATATTATTAATTCAGGGATAAAGAACAAAATTCTGTCATGTATTGCATTAATTGCACAATTGACAACAGATTTATCCTAGCTAGGCTATACTCGTATAGTCATTATTATTTAAAGATTAGAGTTTTCATACTTCAAGCAATTCGTAATTTACAAATGTATGCATGCAAAAACACTGTTTATAACAAGATTTGATTAGAGATATTTTGATGATATAGCAGCCATTTTTGATATTTCTCATTTTTCTTTCATTAACATTTGTACAAAATCAGAGTATATTTCAATAATCAGTTGATAAAAAACAATGCTAACAGATGAAACGTAATATTTTCAAACTTACCAATCACTTATCACTCCAGGTGTAGATGGGGATGTAGCAGTCAAGTCTGGAGGTTTCTGCAGCTGCTGTGTGTGTTGTAAGCCTAAAGATCAGGGTGTAAGAGTGGACAGGTCAGGGGAAGTGAACCTAGCTATGGATGATATTGATGCTGATGCCAACGCGAATGTCAAGTAAGCCCTAGTGTACCCTTGGCAAGAACTTAACTTTATCTCCACTCTTCAAGTAATTCCTTGATCTATCCAACTAGAATACTGTAAAACAGGTATTGTTAGCGAGAGGTAATTGTTCGCTAAAATAAACCGGGGTTAAAATAAATCGGGCGCTAAAATTTGCAAATTCCCGGGAAACCACATGAATACTAGTATTTAAGGAGCTTTTCGTTCAGTGCTCGACTTCCGGTTTGTAATTTGAAAAAGGTAAATATTTTTAAATCGTATGTTTTTTCAATATCTGAAGGATAAATAGCCATCCATCAGTGAAATAGTATTAGTAGTAAATATAAAGATAAAAGGTGTTAATTGAACACGGTTCAACAACCAATGATATTGCTTAAATTCTCCCGTACCATAAGTGAGCAAAGGATCACTTTCAAAATCAAAGTCTATAGATTAATCTTCATTTCGCTAAAATTTCCCACGCTAAAACCCCCTAAAATTGAAAAATCTCTAAAATTTCCCGGTGTCAAAATTACCCGTTTTACAGTATGTAGTAATTACTATATATATTTACTTCCACATGAAAACTGTATATCATTTTGTAGCTGTATGAAAATTGAACCACTAAAACATATAAATATTTAAGTTAAAGGGAACTTTCTACTATACCCGCCATGCTATCTGACCCGAATGAACCACATGGTGGTGAAACTGCCTACTCGCAACTGAGTTATTCTAACTGCTGTTATATTTAAGCCTGTTTGATCATTTTTGAAGCCTTTGATTTATTTAATTTGAACAATATGCCTTTTTGTACATGACATCATTGAATAATGCTTTCATAAATCTTACATTGTCCACTGAATGGAGAAGTGGGTTGTAATTTTGTGTTGTAATTCTGCATTCTATTGTATTGTTGGAATTCTCTGTTTAATGTGTGGGTTGTTATTGTTCTGTATTGTGATGTGTTGTAATTCAATATTGTATCTATGTGTTGTTTCTCTGTACTCAAATTCGGTACAGTTTGAAACTCTCTTCTTAAAGTTGTGAGTGATTAATGGGTTAAAATTCTGTGTTGCAGGGTGGAGGGAGATGTGAAAGCCCCCAGGGTGAGAGTACAGAATGAATATGCAGTCCCCAATGTGAAGGTTGGAGAGAGGGCCATAGATGTAGACCTTAATGCTGGTGATGTGAAGGTCAAAGGACCAGATGTGGATGTTGGTGGTGAGTCAGTTCTTACATATCAACTATACATCTACATCTAAATATTGTTCTATTCCATTATTTGTTCCATGACTTTGAAAACTTACTTTACAAATGGTACATTTGTAGTTATGTTTCTCATACAGAGGTTCTGCTTTGTCAAACTGTTGTAACATTTGTATGTTATAATGTTTCTGGTTATTTATCTTTAAATTGTCTTTGCAGATATTAACATTCAGAAAGAGGCTGATATTAAATTAAACAAACCAAACATTGATGTTGACTATGATTATGATGTCAAAGCACCAGATGTGGATGTCAAAGCGCCAAATGTTGATTATGATGTTAAAGCGCCAAATGTTGATTATGATGTCAAAGCACATGATGTTGATTATGATGTCAAAGCACCAAATGTTGATGGAGATTATGATATCAAAGCACCAAATGTTGATTATGATGTCAAAGCACCAAATGTTGATGTTGATTATGATTTCAAAGCACCAAATGTTGATTATAATGCCAAAGCACCAGATGTTGATGTTGATTATGATATCAAAGCGCCAAATGTTGATTATGATGTCAAATCACCAAATCTTGATGTTGATTATGATGTCAAACTACCAAATGCTGATGTTGATTATGATGTCAAAGCACCAAATGTTGATTATGATGTCAAAACACCAAATGTTGATGTTGATTATGGTGTCAAAGTACCAGATGTTGATGCCAAAATTGAGACACCTGAAGCTGAATCCAGAGGATTCTTTGCCAGAATGAAAGATAACATAACTGGTGCACTTTCCTCTGATAAAAATAATGATGTGAATGTGAAGGCTGATGCAGATACCAACCTTTATAAGTAAGTTTACCTATTTTTGCTCATATTAATGACCTTGCATTTATTGGTTTGAATTTTGTATGTAGCATTGTTATAAGCTAGCAATATCATATTGCTCCATCAACAACGAAACAATCAAATTTTGATTTTAGAATGGCTGGACACAACGTTGCTGTACCCATTTCTGAAACTGATGTGAATCTTAAGACTCCATATGTAAACCTTGGAGGTGAGTTTTGGATTTCTTTTGTCATCTGAGCTGTAAAAGTAGTTGTGCATTGAATTTTAGTGGACAAAAGTCAGTTGAAATATCTCACAAGTGAACAGATTTTCTTGGATTCAGATATTCATTTTCAATACGACTGTGAATAAATGACAACCGTAAGATATGAAAATAATTGAAGATTGATTATTATTACCACCTTGCCGGGCCAGTTCTAGGGGTTTTAGTGCTATTTTAAATGGCGTTCATTTTACTATATCGACCTGAGAAATGTGTGACGTCATAGTGGTGGTCCATATGGACCGGTCTAGAATATATTCTGGACCGGCAATTTTCCCCGGGAAATTAGATATCGTTCATTGCGTAAGATTTTCTTGCTGTTTCAGTCCTGGTTGTTAACGGTGGTAAAAACACTAATAACGTCACTTCTGCGAGCAATATAGTGAAATATTGGACCTTGGGCCTTCGGCCCTCGGTCCAATATTTCACTATATTGCCCTTAGAAATGACATTATTGTACTATTCAACCTTTCAATGTTGTGGAAACAAACAAACTCTTGGTTTATTGACTTTAGGTGATGCTGAAATCCCTACAACTGACCTTGATGCTGACATGAGCTGGAAATCACCAAATGTTGATGGTGATTATGATGTCAGAGCACCGAATGTTGATTATGATGTCAGAGCACCAAATGTTGATGTTAAAGTACCAAATGTTGATTATGATGTCAGAGCACCAAGAGTTGATGTCAAAGCACCAAATGTTGATGTTGATTATGATGTCAAAGTGCCAAATGTTGATGTTGATTATGATGTCAAAGCGCCAAATGTTGATGTTGATTATGATGTCAAAGCACCAAATGTTGATGTTAATGGTCCAAATGTTGATTATTATGTCAGAGCACCAAGTGTTGATGTCAAAGCGCCAAATGTTGATGTTGATTATGATGTCAAAGCACCAAATGTTGATGTTGATTATGATGTCAAAGCACCTGAAGTTGATGTTAAGGCTCCCAAAGCTAAATCCAAAGGATTCTTTGCAAGAGTGAAAAATAACATAGCTGGAGCATTTGATTCAGATAAAGATAACGATGTGAAAGTGAAAGCTGATGTGAATGCCCCAGATGTCAAAGCTCCTGTCAGTCTGGATTATAATGCAGATGCCAATCTTGGGTAAGCCAAATACAACTTACATTACAGTCTGGTAATCTGGTTGTTTCTTTTAAGAAAGGTGATGGGTGATTCAACAATAAGTGGAATTTACTACACTGAGGAGTGGCTGTGATTTAATGTTGTAGTGGTCATGTTGGTTATGGTTACTCGTTGTACTTATAATTTTGTCATTTAACATTGTTCACCCTTCTATTCAAAATAATAAGGATGCAGTATGTGAGCCCAATGTATGAGACTGATAACTAAATTCAGATCATTTTAATTCAGTTTAAACAAGCCATTATTGAAGCATATTGAATACACTGGAGTACCAAACTGTTGGGAAAAGGAATGAGGCATGATGGCATTCATTGAAATGTTCTTATCACTTTATACCTAAATATATACTGCAAAATAATTATTAGGTATTTTGTATTTTGATTTTAGAATGGCTGGAGAGAACATTGTTATACCAGTTTCTGAAACTGATGTGAATCTTAAAGCCCCAAATGTAAACCTTGGAGGTGAGCTCTGGAATTTTTTGTTTTTTGTATTGTAAAAGTAGCTTTGCATTACATTTTAGTAGATAGAAGTAAACATATTGTCATGTCTCACAAGTTAACAGATTTTTCTTGACTCAGATAATCATTTTTGATGGCTTTAAATGAATTACAGTCTCATTGTTCTTTTGATAAATTGAAAGTATAACAACGATTGAAGGTTAATGACCAGTCATATGATGTGGAAATAAAAAACAAACTCTAAGTTTATTGACTTTAGGTGATGTTGAAATCCCTACCACTGACCTTGATGCTGACATGAGCTGGAAATCACCAAATGTTGATGTTGATTATGATGTCAGAGCACCAAATGTTGATTATGATGTCAGAGCACCAAATGTTGATGTTAAAGCACCAAATGTTGATTATGATGTCAAAGCACCAAATGTTGATTATGATGTCAGAGCACCATATGTTGATGTAAAAGCGCCAAATGCGGATGTTGATTATAATGCCAGAGCTCCAAATGTTGATGTTGAAATCCCTACCACTGACCTTGATGCTGATATGAGTTGGAAATCACCAAATGTTGATGTTGATTATGATGTCAGAGCACCGAATGTTGATGTTAAAGCACCAAATGTTGATTATGATGTCAGAGCACCAAATGTTGATGTTAAAGCACCGAATGTTGATGGTGATTATGCTTTCAAGGCACCAAATGTTGATTATGATGTCAAAGTACCAAATGTTGATGGTGATTATAATGTTAAAGCACCTGAAGTTGATGTTAAGGCTCCCAAACCTAAATCCAAAGGATTCTTTGCCAGAGTGAAAAATAACATATCTGGAGCATTTGATTCAGATAAAGATGTGAAAGTGAAGGCTGATATGAAAAGCCCAGATGTTAAAGCTCCTGATGTCAATCTGGATTATGATCATGATGCCAATCTTGGGTAAGACAAGTACAACTTAAGTGTCTGTTTAGTGGAGCACACTAGGTCATCTGTATTTTATACTGTATTTTATATGGACAAGTATTTTTATAATTTCAGTTTTGAGAAAATCAAGTCAAGGGTCACTAAGAAAGTTATAAATTGAAAATGCCATTTACAGACTGGATACAAATTATCCAATATAAACCACCAAAGGCCAACAAGGCCAAAACTGGAACCAGTAGATTTTTCAATGTTCAATTTCACGTGTCTACATGAAGTTACAATTTCTGGGCCTTATATGTTAATAATTGTCACATCCCTTGACAGTTTTTCATTTAGGAAATGTTTTTTAAGTCAGGATATTTTTAAATCTCCTTTTATATGTATTGTCAAAAATATTTCAGAACAAGTGTAGACTATGAAGTACCTGCAACCATAGTACCAGAGTCTGAAGTTGATGTCAATCTTAAAGCACCAAATGTGAACCTGGGAGGTTAGCCTTTGATTATCTAAGTGCTCAATTGAGCTCATATACAAATATGATTAATAGTGTGGTTATTGATGTGATGCATACCACATCTCTTGAAATCACTTTGAAAGTGCAAACTTTCTCAATTAAATCATTAAATCACTTTACAGACATAAAGGCACAATGTTTCTCAAAATGCTACAATAGACCCTGACCTTAATGCACTCAATTACATGTTTACAGGAGCTGCAAATTATGATGTTGATGTGAAAAGACCAAAGGTAGACACAGATTTGGATGCTGATGCAAACCTTGAGTAAGATCATTGTTTTTTGTTGGACAACTATATCCCTATACAAGAATTACAATAATTAATGATTGATAATGGGACTATGCTTTATACATGTAGAATTTCTGCTATTAGTATTTTTAAATGCTGTTATTGTTAAAAATGGGTCAAATTTAAAAAGATACAGATTTGGTACATATTTGAAATGTACGTTTCCTTGAAATAGGATATTTTTTGACTGATAGATTATATTCAAAATTTTATCTTTTTAAAAACTTCAGTAACACTTCATGGGTTCATTTCTTATTTAATTTGGTAAATGCTTTATAAATGTAGGATATCTTCCTGAAAACGTTCTGTCAAAGTGGCATCTTTGTTTAAACATTTTTCATTCACTTTCATCATAACTTACAAAAGTGTAAACTTTTCTAGTTCTTGATATAAAATGTCACTTATGATTTGAACACTTTTCTATTTTAATTTGCAATGTACATGTACCTAGAGATGATTTCCAACACTCAATAAATTTGTTGATAATTTACACAACAAGCCTTTGCCGTATGATAAAATTAGATAAAGCACTACACTCAGTGCTGCATTATCAAATTTTATCTTGTTTATTTGAACAATAAGTGAATATCTAACCCAGATATTATTATTACGAAATTTAAATTTGTAACATCTTTATTTCACCGGCAGAGTGCACACTCCAGACATAAACATGCCTACAGTCAACAAGCCAAATGTCGACCTTCCTGATAATGACTTACCAGACATCAAATCTTCTGATATTGAACGACCTTCCATGAACATTAAAGCCCCAGATGTTAATGCAGGGGGTAAGTATTTTACTGAGATAGTTCCAAATAATAGCCTATAATATATTTTTGCACTTAAAATCATTTGGAATCATTTTTCAAAACAAAATGGCACAATGTGGCAGGCTCGTCTGCTTTGATAGATCAACTGAGAAATCACTTATCTCACTTATTGGGGCCACTTATTACTTAGGTCACTAATGTCAGAAAATGCTTATTATTCATTTATTTTTTACATAGGTGATGTAGATGTGGGCAACATTGACATTGATGCTGATATGAAAGCTCCTGAAATTGATATTGAAACAAAGAAAATTGATGTTGATGCCAGTGTTAAGGCTCCTAAAGAAGGATTTTTTTCGAGAATGAAAAGTAACATATCTGATGTGTTAGACTTGAGTAAAGATAATGATGAAAAAGTGAAAGAAGAGCAGGCACCCAATGTTGTTGTCCCTGATGTTGATGATGCGGTAGGCCATGATGTGAAAGGACCAGCAGAATATTCTACCCCAAAACCTGTTGTAATTATTGACAGTGAAGATGCAGAAGTAAAACCAATAGGCACATCATTGTCCCATCCAGCATACTCTAGCAGGAAAGTTAGGTCCCGGGACTATGACCTAACAACTCCCACATTGTCTTCCTCCAACTATGCACCTGGGGAGATGGAGTGGGACTATGATGAGTCAAGTGAAGACTCTCTGTCAGAAGCATCATTTAAGGATGAAGAATCAGATGTCAGTGAAACAGGATTTGATTTAGAAGTCCCTGATGATTATAAATCCTCAGAAGCAGTTAACCAACCAGCTGTAGATGTTAACCTACCATCGGTAAAGGGAGGTATAGAAATTAATGGATCTGAAAAATTCTATCAACCTGATGGTTCCAACCAAAGACATTCTGCTCAAAGTGATGATGATTCATATGTTGTACTTGATGACGTTCCTCCTCCGCCTCCACCCCTCAGTGATGAGATTGTTGCAAAGGTTGAAGCTTCTGAGAAGGAAGAAAAAGTGAAGCCTAGAGGATTCCTCTCCAGTTTGAGGGAAACCATATCCAATGCCTTAGAACTGAATGATGATGAAAATAAGGCAAGATCAGAAGTTGCAGTCACACCTCCAAGTACAAGTGTTGAAGCAGAATCTTCAACAGGTCTGTGTGCAATTATACAAGTTAAAGTAATATTTAATTAAAAAACATAATTAAAAGTATCGCTTAAACGTGTGATTTGATTTGGTAGTTATAAAAATTATGAGCTTAAGGCTGGTTGAGATAAATGGCAACCAGGATATTGTGCTTACTGTAAAGTACTTTTCTCTTGAATATATAATGTAGAATTGTTCTACTGACTGTATGATCTATGTATAGTACTATACTGCTGTATACCATACTATACCCATGGAACCTACAATTTACCCACTGAACCTAGAGTATAGTATACCATATCCATTGATAATGTATAGGACACTATACCCATTGAAACTATACATACTATACATGTACTATACATACACATTGAGTATACAATAAACAATACTATGCTCAAGGCACCTACATTATTAAACTCATTGAACCTACTCAGGCCCGTAGCTAGGGGGGGTTCGGGGGGTTCCCCCCCCCCTGGCCAAAATTTCTTTCAAAATCATGCAGTTTTTCACCATTCTGACTAATTTTTGAGTGATTTTTGGCCATATTTGCCAAAGTGAACCCCCCCTAGAATTTTTTAGAAAAACGAACCCCCCCTGGAAAATACTGGCTACGGGCCTGCTACTACATACCATACTAAACCCATTGCACCTACAATGGAACCTATGGAACCTACAATATCCCATACTATTCTCATTCCACCACAGTATACTATGGCACACCTATTGGACATACTTTCTACCTAATAATTGCACCTGCAGTACAAAACCTAGAGGAGTATACCATATCATATCACGCCCAATGAACCTACACCCAAAATCATTGTAAAGCATCTTTTATCATGATTGTTCATCTTTGTCTGTGTACATTGGAGACTGACATTTACTGTATTGGCTACATCACACAAGGCATCTTTTTTGAAGTTAAATTGTAAGTATTACATTGTTTTTTTTTCATTTACATTTAAACCTCTCTTATTCGATGTAAGTAGTTATAACAAAATGTAGATAACTAAACAACTTACAACTCATGCTACCTTTGCCACAGTTTCATGCTATCATCATTTTCGTTTTTCACATAACCATCTTAAAATTCATTATGTAAGCTCTGGTGCTCACATCCAACATGTGCATGTATAGTTTAATATGCAATATCCTACTTTGAGACCCCCCCCCCCCCCTATTTTTCTTTTCTCTCATTTCCTCCTGTTTTTACACCTTTTCTGTTTACTTATAATTCCATAATTCTCCTGGTTTTTGTGTAAACTCTCCATTCTCCTTGTAGGCTATTGGTTTGATCATTTACACATTTGTAAAAATAAATGGAAAACATTTTGGAAGAACTTGTGCTTAAACATAATTATCATTATGTTTTAGAATTCTTCTATGTTATATATGAAATATATCTTTTTATTTTGACTTGCAGGTATTTCAACAAATCGTGAGATTGAACAGACAGAACTGTAGCTGAATGAACAAAGGAAACAATGCAATATAGAATGAAGAGATGGTAACTATAAATATTATTGTGACACAGCTCACTTGACACAATATTTTTAATCAGCATTCTCAAAATGGGCATTATTTTTGTTACTTTATGCTCTTGATACGCAAATCAGTAGAGAAGACCTAATATTCCACATTGCTCAAGTCCATAGTCATAGCTCACATTTGCTCAATCCAAACTGTATAATCCTCAAAAGAGATACAAAAAGGCCTTCAATTTACAATAAAATGGAACTACATTCATAGGCCTAAGCTTAGAACTGTGTTACTCTACACTAGTAAACCATCTTTGGACAATAAGTTTCACGGAGTTGTTTTATTTGCAGATATCATATTTAACACCACATGAGGGATGAATAAAGTTGGACTCCTACCCTCACGACTCAGAAGACAATGTGCTGACAACACAACAGAATTCACATAAAAATAATAAAACAAATGATAAATTCAATTTACTGAAAATGGACACTCAAAGAAATGTGTTTATCACTGTAAATTGGAATATTTGATGATTAAAAAATTTCAACTTTTATTTGAAAAATGGCGGGAAATTTGAATATTTGAAAAATAAAAAACTGACACCTTTTAAAATCATGACAAATAGAAAGTGAATGATAAAAAAATATTCTTAAACTTTAGATTGGGCCTTTAAGTAATCATTGTAATTCCAAGCTGACAGATGAATGCCTGACATAATATCAATATGTGCGAACTTGATATTTTGAATATCATCTGCTCATTGCAAATATGCTTAGGAATTTATGAATCCTTAATACATCATTATATCATATACTTTGCACATAGTTTGTAATCCTACTTAAAAAAGTTAGTGATGTAGCAGTTAATGACATTGATTACATTTATTTGGTTCAACAATATGCAATAAACCATTCAGAAACTGTAAATCTGTTCTGTTGGCATGGTTAGTTTTAATGTCACCAGTGACATTGTTCTGGTCTCCAACTTTTTGGTGATGGTGTCTAACTTTCGACATCTGTAACAAATGGCAGGAGGTGACATTTTACTTGTTAATACCTTGTTTCTTATTTGTCATTCGTTTCCATGGGAATGTGAATAATTCAGTAAAAAAGCTAGGATGGCTACAAATCCAGGGATACATATGCCACCTGGCATCTAAGAAATTATTACAAAATATACATGGGTACTTAGATTTCTTTTGTATGAAAGGAACTAGTTGTTCTGAACAGTACCTTCTTTATCAAGCACTTACAAAGATGCATATTTTACAACAAACATACAGAGTTGTATATATATACAATATTATTTGATTATATTGTATCTTATCATTTTTACAATATACTAATATGGTAATATTCCTAAAAGTAGGCCACATAAATTTCATTCTAGAAAGAAAATACAGTGTTTTACATAACATCCATGTACATTTTGGCAATTTTTATTTTATAAAAAATCAAATGTATACTCCAAACATGGGCACACTTCTTGACAACTCAAATGACTCATAATTAATTACATATAAAATGCATACAGTTTCTTGAAGTACATTTAAAATCCTGCAAAATGATTTTCTACATTTATAGCCATATCTCACCAGTTCTGCTCGCAAGCAGCTGTCATAATGATTGCCACAACATCATTTCCTACATTTATAGCCATAATCTCACCAATCCAGCACCCAGCCCAAGTAATACCTCATGCCAAATTCCATAAACAATTGTCAAATTTTCTTGAACATATTTGCTGGATGGTTATGGTAACCATAAAACCTTTTAAATGTGTCAGCTGTGCTTTTGTAGGTGTTGCCATGGTGCATCCAAATGTTAAGATAAAAGCTGATGCTGGCTCTTCTGTTTCCGTGAAACCTGATGCATCAACCAGAATTCCTGTTCGAAGAACTAAGTCTGGAGAAAGGTTAGTATATACTTCAACCTTTGTAACATTAAAGTATTTAGTGTGTAATTTGAATGTTCAAAATTTTGGACTGAATTTGAATAAATTTTTTATGACAAAAATGTTTTTTTTAAATCAGCATTGACCTTTGGCTCATCCTTATCATAATTGTAGCAGTGCTCAGTTGATTGATTGAATTTGTTTATAGTCAAATTAGGATTGAATAGAAGAAGGATAAACATAAAGGGTCTAGATGTTATGTAAAGTAACAAGATATTATATTATGAACATCCCCTTCTTATTTCCCAGAAATCGTAAGACAATAAGGTGATTGTGACAAGTCCTTTTAAGCTCATTTAAGGTAATCTAGTACATAATCCAAGATGTATGACCATTCCAGGAGACCCCAGATAGGTCTAGTTACAAGTGGAACAGGTGACACTTCAAATTACAGTAAAATTACAGGAACAAGCGATCAAAATGAAAATAAACCGAAAAAACAAACCAAACGAAAATCAAAAGACAATGATACCGGAAGTTCATACCAGCAAATGCAGGAGAAAGAGGAAAGTGAACAGAGAAATGCAGCATTATTTTAATAAATATATAATTTGTATATATGTATTGTACAAATATTATTAACATACTTCACATACAGTGTACAATTTTGGTATACATAAAACAATATGATGAAAATGAAAATCTATGTAAAAAAGGATATAACTACAGTGACTGTGTTTATGTTTCATTCGTTTTCTGGGTCAGCCTGTGTATGGTCAAACTCAAGTTAAGGATCTATTCCTATCATGGAATAAGACTAAATTCCAAACTGTTTTCTTTGTTTACAGCTACATAATTAACTCAAGTTCATTTTCTTCAGAGACTAATAGAATTTATTTTCGACATTTCAGCGGTTGTCCTACCAGGTTTATCAAGAATTACTTTAAAAAATGGTTGTGTATTTTTGTGATGTAATAACCGGTGAAATGTTGAAAATGAATTATATTAGTCTGTGAGGTAAATGAACTTGAATTAATCCATAACCAGAGAGATGAATTTACAGAGAAATACCTACATGTATAAATATATATTATACTATGAGACTATGATGCATATAATATATAATTTTTCATATTATTATGAATTCAAGTAGCAAGGTACTTTGTGCTTTAAGTATTTTTAATAGCATTATTTTTTAACATTAATGTTTAACTCTCATTAGGAAAATTTGGGAACTTCATGCAATTTCATTTTACTGACACATACATTTTGTAATGCTGCTCCACTATTGATGTACACATTTGTGCAATTATGTTTACATTGTGAGTAAATACTTTATGTTTTAAATTCCATGAACTTTAATATATTATTTATTTGATGCAGAAGAAGTGCAATCAAGAATGTTGCTGTGTTTTTTATTATCGATGGTGCTCAAATGTAGCTCGTAAGAGATATGTAGATACAAGATAGATAGATACATGTAATAATGTGAAACATTTAAATTTATTCTTCAAAATTATGTCTGGTTTTTGTAATGATTCTATGCATGTTGAATATAAGAACATGAGTTTGTTTATGTAATGATATGAAAAAGAGCCACCCGTGCTAGGGCCATATAGCTCAGACATCACAAAACGCACAAACATCACAAACATACAATGTTTAAGGCATTAATATATACTTTTGAGTAATACTAAATCCAAGCTTATCATATTCAAAAAAATGCTATTCACATCTGATAAGATTTAAAAATATCTCAAGTTCTATGATTTGGAGAAGAGCCACCTGTGCTAGGGCCATATAGCTCAGAGGTAAAAATATCTCGAGTTCTTAATTAAATGTGTATCATGGTTATATATCATATAGAATATCATATTATTATTGATTAAGATGAAAAGTAGGAAAGATTGCTTTGGTGATTAATACTCATTAGGTACCAGGTCAATATATCAATGCTGTCAAAATCGATTTATGCATCAAAATGAGTGAATTTTTACATTTGAAGGTGTACATCGATATATTGACCTTTTCTCTTATATTTATAAAACAATTCAATATATGTTTGTGTATATGTATATGTCACATGTATAGTATATTTGATGGGTTGCTCACCCTCATTTTCACTGCAATGGAATTATCCCGACTTTCAAGTTGATACAAAGGTAGTAGTCTGGTAGTTAAGTTCTTATATTATTCTCTCTTTGAAGACCTAGGAACCGGTTGAATTGTCCTGTTGGAATTTTGTTCGTCAACACTTTTTCGTAATAAATTTAGCTGTAAATCTTTTCATTCTGTTTTTCTGTTTGTATTGGTAGCTGTGAGCTCTAAAAATCCCATTGTGTAAAGTTTTCATCTAAAATGTATTTTATTAACATAATGTATATACACTGTACTGAATGTATGTTATATATTTATATGTTTACTGTTAATAACTGATTGAATATTTTTTCCTAAAAAATGTTTGTTTTATTCATAATAATGAACAATACGCTGGAAAATGTAACCATTTACATGCAAAATGACATATGATATTTTAATTAAAACGGTTTTAACCTCATTTAAAAGAAAACTGAGAGGCTCTTATCATAATAGCTGGGTCATCAAACTTAGCAGCATTGGAAGTATGTTTGGAAATGACATTCCTTTACAAAAATACTCAGTAATTTTGTCATTGGTTTCCTTACATTCTAGGTTTTGTACAAGGAAAAAAGTATTCTTAAAATGTATGTATACATGGTGAACAATTTTAAATGTTTTTACATAACATTTATTCTGTTCACCCTGTACTCATATGTTTTGGTGATGGGTTGCATCCAATTCAACTTTTATCAATTTTATTTTGTATCTTTTACTTGATTGAATGTGCATACACATGTTTGTACTTATACTTATATTATTAATATATTATATTGAAATACTATAATTATTTTGTTATTATTTAATCTATAACTTGTATATATTATTTTAGTACTACCCAATTGTTCCATTCTTACCCTACATTTTGGATTCCTTTGTTTTTTACTTAAATAAAGTCTTATTTTGACCCAGCATACTAAGTATGGTATTCAGCTAGGTTGAACTTAAAAAATTAAAATCAATCTATTTTTACCCTAATGCAGAATTGCATTGGGATTATTGCCATTCTTCATTTGCCATTGTCTATTTTTTCTTCATTAAATTCATTAGCCCACTTTATCATACAATTGAAATAAGATGAACCAATATCGGCTGATTCTGTAAAGCAAGTAGATTCTTGTTAAAGTTTATTTTATTTCCAAACAACATGCATGCATACATAATAACACAATGATGGCTTGGGTAATAGTCTACATCATTATACACTTTGGTTAAGTTGCAAATATGTTTAAATTAAATTAAACATTGTTAGTGGTTTCATTACAAGTGACATATGATTATTCAATTACAATTATTAAAAACTACTTGTTGAATGACTTGTAAAGATGGTTTGCTATTTTAAACTGTCAAACTGTAATTTCAGTTGTTTTTTGTTTTTTATATATTAACTAATTTTCATACTGTATCTTTCAAAACATGGGGCAGATGAGGCAAATGCCACATCTAAATTTTATATTATATGTTCAATATCTTTATTAACATTTCTTTGCCTTCCCTATGTTTAGATCTTGGCAATGCCCCTATTCTAATGTTCAATGATTATTGTTTGTTGCAACTAGTATTTCCACAGCACCCACACGGCCTCTGGAATGTTGACTTTAAAGCATTTGGGGGCACCAGTTTGTGAATCATGGGCTGCTGATGATTTTCAAAGGAATGATAGAAGGCATGCAGAGAACTTGCTTTAATACTACCAGTAGTCTCATGCCTATCATTATTGTTGTTTTTCTCTTGTAATTTGTGTATGTCAATGAGGCTGGCTGATTTATTATGCAAGTGGTCATCTCCTAGTAGTTCTAGATGGTCCACAGGCTTGGGGTTTTTGACTGCATGTAGTCTACTTGCTACTGTTGAGTTTGCCACACTGCTTCTGCGTGTACTGGTAGAGTCATCTTTCCCATTTATAGATTCACTTGAACTGTAATAAAGCGGGTCACTTTCTGATGTGGTAATGCTATTGTAGCTGTTATGGTCTTCATAACTGAAACGCCTATAATATCCTTGTATATCATCTTGGCTCATTGTCATTTCATATCCATTGAATGTTGTAGATGGAACTGGAGTAGCTAAGCTTCCCATACTTGCACTATGGGGTCTTATTGAAAGCTGTCTTAATGTGTACATACTCTCCTCAAAGTGTTCATCCATAGGGAGAATCACTTTATTTGTATGGAGTCTCTCTTGGGGATTGATCTCTATTTGGGAGATTGATGTAACATCTGAAAAACTAGATGATCGGACGGTTGATGTTGTCTCGAGTCTGCTATTTTCAAATGCTATTTTGGGTTTATGAGGCAGAGGGGACAAGGACCTGTGTCTTGGAGATTGCACTCTATTGAGAAGTGCACTCCTGCTTCTTTCCGTGACCATTTTTTGTTTACTTTGATCTGTTGTATTTGTATCTGAATTGGGTTCGTTCTCTATATTACCAAAGTCATTAGCTAAGGAGGGCAGCATCCTCTTGGATGGCTCCATAGATCTGGATCGAGGTTGCATTATTTTAGGAACTTGAATTTCAATAGATTTTGGAATTATATCAGCCATACATAATGACCTTGATCTTGGCCTTCTAGGTTCCCCATAATATGGTACATCTAGTGTTTGTGTTATGGCTACTTCATTGTTTTGAGCTAATTTGGGAAATAGTTTGGTATCATCATTCTTCCTTGTGTCAGCTTTCCTAACTATTGTAGTTTTTGTTTGTTTATCCGTGCCAATTATCCGATCTAAACTTTCTATTACATCACTTGAGATTTTGTATTCAACTTTCATTGATTCCGATGTCATTACACCGGCACTGTTATATTGTACTAGTGTCTTTGATCTTGGTTGTGTAGTTTTATGTTCATTTTTGTCCTCACTGACAACTATCTTTGGAGGTGTTGAAGACAATCTCTTTTTCACACTGCCCTGTCGCTTTTTCTTTCTACTCCCCGATCGCTCCATTCTGAAATAATTAAGAGAATATATTTTATAGGTAGTAGGCTACTTAATATTATATTCTTGATATATTTATATGTACAGTAGTACATTTCACATTAGTGGGTAACAACTTTGTACATAGTTTGGAGGGTAACAAAAAATATTTTATATACTTTTATATTTTAATATTTGGGGGAATTTTCCCATTGCTTCCTACTTGGTTCCTCTTTAAAGAAATTAGGCAGGCCTAGTGGGACCAAGCTCCAAGTTATTGCCTAAATTCTTATTCTACTTGATCTACCTTAACCATGTCCAAATTAGATTCTTACACTATACAATACATTGGTATAATTTATCCCTAAGTATCTGCGAATTCAGATAAAAATTGAATATCAAATATCAGTATTATTTGAAACCCATAACTTCTTTAATAGCTTGGTAATACAATACTTTGAATAATTTATCATCTGGTCTTTATTTGAATTACGATATGTTGAAAAAAAGTTATTGTCAAAATAATCGAAACACACATATGGCTTATTTTACATAAATGACACATTTGGATCTTATTTTATTTGAAATTATTACTCAATGAGGGAGGATATTCCAACAGTTTTATACATTTAACCTTATAATCTGCACGTTGTTCAATTTCCCCTGGACAATAACATTACCTTTTCAACCAAGTGTTTTTCAACAATGCAGAGACGGTTGCACTTTTATTTTGTAAAAATGATTATCTCATATTAGATATTTTTTATTCAACTTCTTTATTCAAGGGTGCAGTAGTTTTGAGTGTCCAGTCAAAACAAGTAAATAGTAGGTTATGTGCCACAAAATAACTTGTTATTGTATTGCACAGGGATGGCTCATGAAGCTTACAAGGGGGAATTATTTGAAACAAATTCCCGAAACATCTTTTTTTAATTTTGTTGATCTATTTTTTAAAAAGATATGCATTGTTAGGTTGGTTGCACTTTTTGAAACACCCTGTGACATTTTGCGATATCACTGGATGTTTTTTGCAAATGGAATCGGCAACAGATAATGGCAATGTTAAATGGCAACAGATAATGGCAATGTTAAGTTGACAACAGATAATGGCAATGTTAGATTGGCAACAGATAATGGCAATGTTGAATTGGCAACAGATAATGGCAATGTTAAATGGCAACAGATAATGGCAATGTTAAGTTGACAACAGATAATGGCAATGTTAGATTGGCAACAGATAATGGCAATGTTGAATTGGCAACAGATAATGGCAATGTTAAATGGCAACAGATAATGGCAATGTTAGGTTGACAACAGATAATGGCAATGTTAGATTGGCAACAGATAATGGCAATGTTGAATTGGCAACAGATAATGGCAATGTTAAATTGGCAACAGATAATGGCAATGTTAAGTTGACAACAGATAATGGCAATTTTAAATGGCAACAGATAATGGCAATGTTAAGTTGACAACAGATAATGGCAATGCTAGATTGGCAACAGATAATGGCAATGTTGAATTGGCAACAGATAATGGCAATGTTAAATTGGCAACAGATAATGGCAATGTTAAATTGGCAACAGATAATGGCATTGTTACAGATAATGGCAATATTAAATGTCAACAGATAATGGCAATGTTAAAAACGACCCAATGTTTATCGTGTTATAGTCCTAATTTAATCTTAAAAGATTGAAATACCTCACAGTAAAAAATTGTGAAATTATTTAGCTTGGGCTTAATTGGTTTTAATTCTAATGAAGAACTATCCAGTCCACCCTTTTTCTCACGTGATGGTTCTATCAAACAAACAAACTACCAGATAAAGCAAACAAACAAACAAACAACTTCGTAAAGCAAACATTTTTACCCGGTACCTTCAAATTCCACCGTTTCTCACTAACTTGAGTGCTGATTCATCCAGAAAGACATCAATCTCCACATAACAATCCAGGAAAGTACCTGTATCTGAAATACTCTAAAATGCTGAATGCCCAAGAGAATATAAAGCTTTGGCATACATAACTATTGGATTAAGGTGTGTTATTGATCTTGCAATAAAGTAGCAATTGCTATACATCCATGAAGCACTGAACATATTCAACAAACAATTCAATTGAAATGGATTATAATATAGGATTATCAAATGTAAGACCACACCACAAAACGTTTTATATCAATTGGAAAAATGATAAAGTATCACTGGTGACTGGATAGTCGTCACGTGACCATTGTTCTCGCGCTTTTTCTTCCACTTTCTTATGTAAGTAAAGGACCAGGTATAGTGTGGCAAGTGATTTTGGACAGTCATATCTTTCTCCATGAGTACTTTCTGCCATGACTATGGTGACTTTTATTAAAACAATTATTATCTTTCAAGAGAATTCTCAAGAATAAAAATATTTATTAAACAATTCGAACAATTATGCATAAGAACCTTTCTTTCAAAATGTTGAACCTATTTACTCAAAAAAATCTTTTTATGATTTTTATTGCATGAAAAGATTATTGAACAGGGGGTCTAAAACTTCTTCAAAAGTAGAATGGTATTAAAAGTCTAGTTTTGAAGATATCAATTTTCGATGACCAAAATGATGCTGAAAGCAATGGAGGGCATGAGTTTTCCCTATGGGAAAATATCATGGGAAATGGGGTATTTAACTTATCGCATTTCAATACCCATCCTCTTTTCAGAAGTTGGTTATATAAAAGTTTTGATATATAAGAAATTGAGAAAAACAAGATCCTCTTCAAAAATAAACCTAATATAACATTTTGTAAAAAATGACAAGTAGGGATTCTAACCCATAATTTTTCAAAGAGTTAGGTTTATATTTTTATTATCATGGGTACTTCACTTGAAAGAAAACATGTTGTTTTAATAAAAGCCACTATATTTATGGCCAGAAAGTATTCAAGGAGAAAGATATGACTGTCCAAAACCACTTGTCATACTATACCTGGTCCTTTTCAGGGAGTGTATATAGAAACATACTGTTATGCCCGACGTTAACAAATATTCAGAATAGTTCAGAGCATTATTTGAGCTAAGAATTTCACTGAGTTAGCGGCTACAAATTGCAAATGAGACGTTCCCATTTCAAAGTCCAATAGGCCGTTTGGCATCATAATTGTGAAGAAAGCATTTTCTTCTCCGGCATTATATGATTATATCAGAGACATATAAAAATCCCAACGAAAGAAGCTCAGTAGGAATATAGTGAAGCCCTCCGTCCGTCACTCAGTCAGTCCATCCGGAAGATAACTCGATTACTAGTGGACAGATTTTTTCACATTTGGTGGAAAGATGTATATTGGTGAATAGTTTTACGCAAAAAAATTCAAAATGGCGGGAAAAATCTAATGTTTTTCATTTTAAACCAAAGTAATAAATATTATTATTTGAAATTATGATAAATTTACAACATCTCTATTTCACATATGTTCCGTGTTTTTCACCCTGACCACCAGGGGTCGTGAATATGGGGTTGGAAAACATAAATTTGCCTTAATTTTGAGATCAGTGTTTTTGAAGTATAGCTTTACGAAGCTTTATTGTACTCAAATGGACTTGGCATTTCAAGTAGATATATATATCATGTAGCAAATATTGTATCGTTTTTCTGATTCGGGCCTCGTAAAATTCAAAATGGCCGCCTAATGTGGGATTTTGAAATAATTTTCTGATCTCTCAGAACTATGGCTATATTATACTCAAATTAAAGGAATTTCAGAGTAGATCACAATTATGGTATCGTTTTTCCGATTTGTGCCCCAGAAAATTCAAAATGGCTGCCTCGAGCAGGATCTAGGAATTCGCCATAACCCACGGACGTCAAGTAAGTTTCTGGCATATCCAGAAATTTGTACAGAAAATCAGACATCGATTTATCTCCTAATTGCCACTATTACTGTGATTACCATTACCAACATCGTTCTAATTTAGAAAAGAATGCCTTGCATGAGACTAAATTCTATCCAAGTAACTTTATTCACATTTAGCCAGTTAAAATGCGCATAAAAAAGTGAAGAAATAGGAAAAAGGACTGGGAGAAATTCATAACGCACTAAAATAATCTGATCTTATCACTCTGTGTTTTGGTTCTGTATTTGTAATTGCCTGTATTCTACTTAATTCATGTTTAGAACTCATACTGTAGACTGAACCGATTTATGATTTATATAGTGTTCGTTGGGATTTGCTACTCCGTGGAGTTGCCGATTTCTAGTTTTTATTTCAAATTTTCACAATATGTAAAATGAATTCAGGAATTAGTTTAACAAGTTTATGCAAATTTCCTCCTATTGGACAAAGAAAATGGTTACTATGGTAACTCGTGTTTCGGGCAAAGAATTTAAATGGCAGAAAGCGCATAAAATGTCAATTTATAAATGTAGTTCCGAGCTGCTTCCTGCATAAGGGTTGGTCTTTAAGAAAGACGAACATAAGGTTTATGTTTGAATCCAAATGTGGGTTTTCTAGTGAAAAATATCTAATTTAAAGACGGAAAACAAAGAAAAACAACATCAAATAAAAAGCGAGCCAATTCATAAATGATTTAAAAACACATCCAACAAGTCAACATCCGAAATAAACAGACATACAAACGCAATCTAGGCTATTTGAATTTATTTAAAAATTAAAACCCTTCCCTTTTCACCACCGTATATGTAAGGAAACAAACATGGCATTCGAATTATTTAATATTTTTTAAGTTATTTTTCGATATGATAAACGAAAATCCATCTTAACTGCATTGTTGACGTTTCGCGACTACACACCCGGTGATCGGAAGAAAAGAACGGAGGGTGGAGGCGGGGGGTAGCTGATTTTCGCTAGAAAATTCAACAAATCTGGAAGATTTATTTTTTCAAGAGAAAGTTTACAATTAAATTGCAAAATGAATAGGCGCAGTACACGAGGAAATGTGTTAGGTCTTCTCGGATTGATTGACTTCTAAGATTAAAGATCTATAAATCAAGCCCATTACACGACCTGTAATAAAATTTAATATATATTACCGACGTTTTTATCACAAAATTAATACCATTGGTTTTTAAGTTTCCAAAACGTAAGATAAAAAATAATCGAGAATAATTTAAATAATTAAAATTGAACGGATAATATGTCTTTAAGGTGTAAGAAATTTCTGCGAATTCGTGTATTTGAAAAATGAACTCAGTTACTCAGTAACAACCTGATGTTTCAACTCTGAAATGTGAAAAACAGGGAGTTATTGGAAATAAAGTCAAGTTACATCTGTTATCATTATTTTTATGTCTTATAGACACATTACTCCCCCCTCCATTCACTCCCCCTCCTTTCAATTTTAATAATTTTCGATTATTTTTATAATATAATCGTATGGTAAACCAACGATGACACTGAATAGTTTTGTGATAATAACTTCACTTTAGTATTTATTTCAGGTCGTGTAGACCCCTGTTGCTTGATTTATGTTCAAAAAATCCTAGAAGACCTAACATATTTCCCCGTGCACTGCGCCTATTCATTTCAGCCATTCAATTGTAAAGGTTCTCTTGAAAAAATAAATCTCCAAGAACTGTTGAATTTCCGAAAATCAGCGACTCTCCTCCGTTCATTTCTTCTGATCACCGGGCGTGGACTAAGAGACTAAGACCATTTGTTTGTTAGTGTCGAATAAATTCTAAAATTCTATATAAATCAAGGCATATGATTTAAGGTCCATCAATGTATCAAAAAAGAATATATCTACGGGCCTGTATTAAGCTTATTCATTCTAGAGGATAGAGGACGTTAGTAGTTTATAGTAAGTTACGTGTCATCATGTCAGTATGATCGTTGAAAGTAAAAATCAAACCCTGCCAGTACTGTAAAATGAGTTTCAGCACCGCTAATGCACTAAGCTAACACTGAATGATAGTATATCTCATTCATCAAAATATTTCTATGAAAAACAAGGCTAATTGTGAATAATTCAAAAGTGCAATAACACTCACACTTGGAAATAAATATGTCCATGTTTAATTTAAATATATTTTAGTGTTACCTCTTCTTATATTGAGTATTCGAGTTAAAAGTAAAATTGTGCAACATTCCCATTCTCCAAATGCATCAGTTCACTCTGAAACCCTCAGTTAATCTTTGCGGAGGGCATTGCCATCTACCTTCAGAATGAAGATTAGAACTTGCCCGGGATAACGTATTTTTTCAAGGAAATAAGGCCTCACCCCACTGGCGGATCCAAAATCTAACAAGGGGTCCCAAATTTTGAGTGTGGAAAAAATGTTTGGGCCCCTAAAATCCATATTTGGGCCAAAATTGTGAAAATATAAGGCCCTTATCTGATATTGTGGCCTAAAAGGCCTTAAAACGAGATCAAAATATACCCATATGAGGCCCTACACATTTTTTCTGGGCCCACAAGGGGGAGTGCATGGTCATTTCCATATGCTTCCAATATATTGGCTATACTGCCAGACCTGCCGCTAATGTTGGAAGAAAAATTCTGGATGTGCGCCCCACTTTTAAAAGAAAACCCCCTTAGTTGTGGGTGGATTTTGAATCTCTGCTGCTGCGCCCCGTACAAAAAAATAACGGCCCCTCCCCCATCCACCTGAAAAATATAGCCTAATTCATATATCATCTAATATTCTTCTATCTTCTTTGTTAGATCTGGAAAAACTAAACCAATAAAATGATTATATTCCGAGACGAAAACCAATAACTGCCAACTGCAGAGGGAACATTGAAAACGTGGAAAAGTAACCGGTGCGTTGGAGATTGGAAGTTTGGAGATCAAATATTATTACGAAACTTCTTTTAACGCTAGCTCGTCTGCTCTCATTAATTGACCAATCAGCTTCGGAGGTTGTTTACAACTTTAGTTCTCTTTGCTGAACGGAGCGACCATTACATATTACGTGTCTACAAAATGTGATAATTAGGCAAGGATATGTCACCTGATTTGAATTAAATTGAGGGGAAGTTAACTCAAGTTTTCGAGGATTATAATGCCGCAAATTTGGTGAGATTGCGATGTATTTTATCGTAGAAAACTCCAATCGAAAGTCAAGGCCATTTTTTGGATGACGATAATATGAAAAGATGACCCTATCAGTACAACACTTGCTAGAACAACCGTATGGACTAGCTAGAAAGCTTGCTGAATTTATAACAATACGATGAAGGAAAAATCTACAGTTATATAATGGTATGAAAAAGTGCTCCAAGTGTCAAAATGAAGCACAGAGACGATCTGGTAGACAGACATTCATTACAAAACATACGAGAGTTGTTCAAAAAATATGAACACTGTCCCTAACCATAACATACAAAACAGTAAACGATGTAGATTTTGTAATCCATTGTAAACAATGTAGTGACCCTAGGATACCTACACTTTCTATAAAAACCATAACCATTGACCTTTATACTGATACATTTCAAAACTACAAAATGCTTGCCCTGAGTTGGAAGGTGTGGCTCTGTGCATTCACTGGTTGTATTTTGATGATGACAAGTTCAATCAAAGCTTCCGGCACAAAGGAACATAGTAAGTATAATATGGCAATATCAAACAAATGTAATGGCAGGTCAGTCTCTTAGTCTGATGTCTGACTCTGACATTTTCAGTAATGTCACACCACTGTCCCTTATATCTCCTAGCCTACATGTCACCTTCTTGTGATGTCACATCACTGTTAAAAATATACTTTTGGGACTTCGGCTATACAGTATATCAAAACTATGAGTAGTTGAATTTTTGTTAACAAAATGTCTGCATAGTAGCTGCTTATGTTGTTTCGATGGCATGTTGGTTGACTATTCATTTTATTTTAAAACAATTATCTTATATATAAAACAAATTTGTAATGCATGATAATTCATAAACATATATACTTTGTTAACAATGTGGTTGATGTAGATCACTCACTACCTTTTTATAATTTCTGTTTCGGAAACAAGCACTTTACAAATGTGATTTAGTTTTTCATAATGTGATGCAGTTCGTGAAAGCAGTGAGTGTTTCGGAAGTCCAAATGTGAGATATAACAAAATACCTACAGATACACTATAGTGTAGCCATCCCAGTTGATTTATTCTCAGGTGTAACAAACATTTCCTTGTGTATCCGTTGATCTGATCAAGATATAGATGTTATTTGCGGAATGGGTATACATGTACCTTCTGTTGACTGTATATGTACATTCATGTAACAAGGTATCAGGCAATTGACTCATCAGTATTTTTACAGAAAGAACTTAATGGATATTTAGACATTTTACTATTGAAAATTGTGCACTTGTTGCACAATATTTTATTTGCCATGACATTTTTTGGTATTTTTGTGTCACCACCAAAAAGGTGACATGACAGTCGTTTGCAGTTTGGCGTCTGTAACAAATTCTTACAACTTCCAATAACGGGTGGTAACATCTTGTCATGTTAATTCCTTGTTTATACTCCCTAACAATCTAAAATAACTGATCTAAGATTGATGATTGGGAAAAGCTTCCTAAATTTCAATCAGTTTCCGTCATAATATGCTTTAATATCTTGACTAGCTTAGCTTCTGAATATAACTCCGGGTGTGTTGTTACGCAGAGCTCCTCTTGAAGGCCTCATGCATAGTAAGAAAAAACATTAATTGGATTAAACACAAAAATAGATTAAAACAATAACTTTGATATTTATGAGTAAATGTCTTGTTTTTCAACCAATCTTGGTTAAATTATCAGGAAATAGATTAGGATGTGCTCTGCATTATTGAAAATCATCTCTTATTTATAGATCTGTGTGACAACCAAAACTTAATTCATAACTTTCCATATAAAAGTCTTCAAAAGCAATTTTTGAGATTAAAACAATAACTTTAATATATGATGACATTTTTAGAACTTTAACTACAATATGAGCCAAAGTGGTTTAAACTTTTCCTGGGACCTTTAACAAGCACTTATGATTGGAAAAAGGAAGACTGTGTTTCATGATGCCTTTCCGAACAAGGATGTTTTGTCTTTTGTGATATGCATGAAACAACAAACCCAGAGTCCTGTAAATTCTGCATTTTCTCCATTGACTGTTCATTACTCACGCAGGTTACCTTTATACAACATGCAATTGATATCATAACAATATGATTCTTGAACATTCAACTTGACCAAATACCCAATTATTAAACTGTTCCTTAATGCCCCTCCAAGTCATTTTATTTGTGATATTAGTTCTAAATTTGATATGATAAAAGAAGTAATTCATTTCAATTTCTGTTATGGAAAGTATGATGAAATATTAAATGAATTAAGTTGATATCGGATATATAGGAATTTTAGTCATCACACTTTTAAACAGTGATTCATAACTTGTGTAAGTATTATTATTCATTATAATCGACCTGTTCTGCTTTCTCTTTTTAGCTAATTGCTCTATCTTGTACATTTCATGAATCAAAAAATAAAAATAATGTTTCAGTGTTTATAACAAAATGGCATCATTCTCTAGACAAAGGGTTGTCCTTCCATTCTAATATACATAACCAAAATCAATAAATCCACAAAAGGAAGAGGTTGTTGGAGGACTATGATCCACATGATTCAGCAGAAATAAATCCTAGACTCCAACCACACATTGAATGATTATATTAAATGAGATTAGCAAGTGCAAAGTGATTTTTAATGCTATCATATCAACGAGAACTCAAAGGGCAGTTACTTCCTAATGTACAGAAGTCAAAACATTTTCACAAACAACTTTAATAGCAGTTTAAATAAAGTCATGTTTTTTCTTATCAGTAAATTAGTTGATATCATTTTTGTATCATCATCTACCACTTGTGTGAACTCTACGTCGTTGATTTTAATAGGTAAAGGTGAAAAATGTTGAAATTCATGTTCACGTTGGCATTGATCCTACCAATCCTCTAAGTTCTTTTAAGGACAATTTGTCATCCAGAAATATTATATAATGGCACATGGCATAACGAAATGTTGTAATAAAGCAGATTTCCGACATGATTTTTTATCTCTTACTATATTAGTCATTAATTTGATGAATTTGCAGTTCTTAATAATTCAGCAAATTAAATCTCCAGCAAAATCTTCAGGTTGAAGTGTATGAGAGTGAGTAATATTACAATTAACCAGCCCAAAATTAATACAATATTGCATTTAATAATATTACATCAATATTCCTTAGAGTATCTGAGATTATGGTGAAGTTTCTACTTTCCTATTGGTTGAATTCTGGTAATTAAACAAATAATCTGTCAGCTATTAGAAGTTCAATCAACTTGTTTTCGTGTATAATTCAGGTTTCTTTGTTTTGGCCCTTTTCCCATATTCATATTGTAATCTCAAACAAATGCATCAATGTCATACTTTTGTACTTTTGCTTGTAGTCCAATCCCAAAGTCTTTCTACGATTCTTTTTGCCTTTATTTATAAGATTGGATTTTCTGTTGTATGATACATAGTTTTCTTGTTTTTCTAATAGTATTGACCTGGTTTAGTTACTTTTTTAACATCATTAGCCAGTCATGAAGAAATGATAAATGAACAGATGCTCCCCTAATCCATTTTGTACTACACTATGATAATTTTAAACACACTCAATCATCACCATTAAACAATAACAAAAAACAATAATCGAGGTAGATAATATTTAGAAATTTAATTTGAATATTTTATTTCACTTCTATTTCCCTATAGAACTTTTCATTTTATGTTAGCCACATTTGTGAGATTTTTTTCAAGGTGTGTAATCACTTTCTTTGTTTGATATGATATTTGCAAAGAAAAAAAGAATTTGTCATCTGTATTTGTATGTAACTCAGTTGAGTTATACCATTGTTGAACTTCTCTAATTAACATGGATAAAATATTCAACATGCTTGCACCAATTGCCTCTTTTGTACTAGTTGACTTTTATATGATATGATCACTTCTTGGGGAACATATCGATAACAGGATTTTAAATAGAAAAATGAAAGTAATATAATATAGTGTTAACCCTTGCCTTTCTCAAAATGTAAGAGGTGATAAAATATGCAATGTTATTTATATAATGAAACTGTATATTTAAACACCTCTCGATGTGAACAGTTTTTCTTGGCATTATCTTCCATTTACTCAGATATTGTAGAACATGGAAATGTGAACACTTGCTGATTTGAACATTTTTGGCTCGTTCAGTAGCGTTTGAATTGGACAAGTTTTACTGTACTTGATTCTTGGAATGGGAGTGCCTGTCTGTCTGATTTTCCTTATAGTTGCTTCCCTACATTTTCTGTGTCTTATTTCTCTTCATTTTTGATGTGCCTCAATTAAAAAAATTCAAAACCTTGAGATGTAGAACTCTGAACTGACAAACATTTAATATGCTGGATAGAAATTATAAACTCAAAAATGTTTTACTTTAAAAAATTACAATATCTGAATTATAAAATAGGCATTTAAGGCAGAATCAGAACTTTAGGGTGACAAAATTGCAAGCAACATATGCAGTTGACCTACCGATATATTCCTCGAATATAATATCTTCTAAAAGATCTTGGATATATTATGAATTGGAGAAGTTGTTAGGATTCAATGTGTAAAAATGGGGGAAAGTAAATTATCAAAATGATAACCATATTTATATAGACGAATGAATGCATTATTACCCTTTGCATTCGTTCGACTTCACTTCTTAAAAGAGAGCTTTGTCTTCACTCTTTCAGTTTACAATAAATCTGATCTTACCATGCCAATCAGAGTTCGTCGTCGAAATACGGATGACTTTCTATATGGTCATTTCAAGTGACATCACCGCATAGTTAATGAGCATGTATTTAGCACGTGTTCCTCCCACTTTGCTGATTGGTTGAGAAAGGGTCAGCGTTGTGGATTTGAAATGATTTATTACCTGGGCTGTCACAGACACCAATCTTTGGGGTGGGACTGCTAAACTGTAATATAGTCTATATTAGGCAGAGGGTAGTTTATAACTGAACTCTACACACTGGGTAATGTATTATTGTAAAAATCTTGGGTTTTAGTCAAATAAAATTTGGAGATATTTAGAATATAAACATAATATTCGATGATATAATGTGAGCCCAAAATTCTCTAAAATTGTAACAATCATATTACATGTACTACTTTTACCAGTTGAAAATAACTGTTAGATTTGATATCACCTTTAATCAAATACATGTACTATTATTTGAAATTCTGAATAGGCTGTAAATGGAACACCATCTGCACTAAAGTTAGTTTAAGATACCAAACACTTCTAATTACACAGCTTTCTGGTAAACAACTCTGAAGAATGTCTGGCTAGCCACAAACAAAGATTTTGAATATTTCTTGGCTTATTATACCATGGGATAGGTATTTGCCAAATAACCACAAGAAGTACTTTCACAGGGTACCCTGCTTGTATTAACAATCTAAATTAAAATAACTATCAGGAATATTCTTGAGAACAGGACCTCATTATGTCAAGTTGTCAACTATTTTGCTCTTCTCCTTCAAAGGAGGTTTTCTCCCATAGCTCTTGCAAACTACAAATCAT